CCACAATTCTCGGGTACCGGGCGATACTCCGGCCTTGACCAGCAGGAAGGCATCGAGGTTCATCCCGGCACACGAGAAGATGACCCTATTATCACCGACTACTCGCACACGAGCAAAGTGCCGCCAAGCCAGAATCCAGACTTGACTCCTGAGTTTTCCCACACTCGTCCGGCATCGGGCTCACCTGAAGAAAGGAGATGATAAGTTCTTGTCCCTTTCAAAAACAATCAGCACATAGCATTACGAGCAAGAAGTGAACCTAAATGATGCACTGCTTGTTCCACGGCCTTTCATACGTCTACTTCCTCATATTACCCATTCTGCATTCTTTCCTTCTTTCCTCTTAAGAGCAAATAAAATGGCATCGGGGCCATAGCATATTAATCTCATCTTAATATTCTTTTTTTTTTTCCTGGACGGTTACAGCTAAGCTCGTTAGTTTTCAACATTACCATCTCTGGATTCATCGCCCTCAGGCCTCCTTTCTTCACCTCTCACCTCAGATTAGAATCCTCCGGGTCCTTCTTCCTTTTCTCCACACCCACTCGCTTCCACGTTGCTGAGAGTTCCCAGCATGGGTCTTACTAGGCAGAGTCCAAGCCGACCCCTTGGTCCTATGAACGCTCACTTCCTCACCTTCTGCCCTCCCTTCTTTACGTTTGTTTCATTATACGCTGAGTTGCTTGCTGTTTTTAATAAATCTGCATGGCGTCAAGGACAGTTTACCATTCACTTATCCTCGTTATACATCTTTTTTGTTGTTCTACTTCATGTATATATTTTCCCACCACTTAGGAGGTATCTTGTTCCCTCTCTCTAAACAATATCCTTTTTTCCTGGGGAGGGTGGTTTTACCTCGTTCTTTCTTCCTGGTCTATCTAGCTTCCATGGAGAGAAGCTCAATCTTGAATATAATAGATTCTGATCGTGGCCTTCCATATGCATCTTCAAGTCCGTGTACAACAAGTTGTAGCCAGGCCCTTGTTAAGAATTTACCGTAAGCTTCAAGGATGTCAATTGAACCAGTGGTATGATTGCTTTTGCAGCGATGCTTCGTGTTTATCATTAAAGTACATGCGGGAGAGTGAAGTAAGAAAAACCATCTATCAAGATGGTGATTGAATGGCTTAAAAAGAAAAAGAAGGTGAAAAAAGAAGAAGCACCCTTTGCTGCCACAAGTGATGTCATGATTGATATGTGGCACTTAGGAATCCCAGATGGCAGCCTTTGCCTTCTCAGCCTCCTCACGCTTCTGCTCCTCAGCAAGTTTCTCCTTCTCACGGCGTTTCTTCTCATTTGAAATCACGGTGCGGTCGTAGGCTTTCTGTGCCTCAGATCTTGGTGCACGCACCCCCAAGGCGCTGGCAATCATCCTGTTGGCGACAGCAGCCTGCTTCTCCGGGCGTTTGGAGTAGGTAGACGAGGCGTGTGAGGCGTTGCTGGTGGTAGAACGGCAGCTAGACTGGCGGGAGATATTCGGGGTTGGCGGTGGCGCGCGGATTCCATGCTGAAGGGGAGGAGCCTGAGAATCAACGGAGAGTGCGGGAGAGTAGCTGCGCGGTGCGGTGATGGTAGTCTCAGCGTCGCTGTCTTGTTCTTCTTCCTCTTCTTCGGAGGAGAGGTCTTCATCTTCCCATGATTCAGCGATCTTGTTCAGTCGGACACCACCGCGGGGAGTGGCAGTGGGCTGGCCGGGAGAAGAGTTGGTACTAGAAGCTGTTCTCCCTTGTTAGCTACAGCTTACATCTTCCGCCATAAAGCTAGTCTCAGGGTATAACGCGTGATGGACTTGTTATAGAGAAGATGAGAGACTAACCTGGACGACTTTCGGCCATCTTTACGCTGCTTTTTATATATCTTGATGGCGGAAGTCGGAAGATACAGGCTTGGTGAAGTGGGAGTTGCTAGAGAAAAAGGAGAAGAAGAGAAGAAGACAAAAGAGAGAGTTGAAGATGTTTATATAGTGAGACTTTTCCTTCCACCCAGCTGTCACTCTATATCTCTGTCCTCTTCCTGTCCTTCACTTCTCTTCACCGTCCTGCAGTGTTGCTCACTCACTATCAACCATAAGATAAGAAGTTAACTACTTAAGATACTCTGATGTCATCCTAGGCACACGTATTTTGACTAGCAAGCATTAGTTAATATCATTGCACAGCCGTAAGACCATAGAAAAAGGGGGGAATGAGAAGCCCTGCAGAAGTCTCAAGGGTCGCCTGCAGCATCCATGTCAGTGACTTGTGAAGAAGAGCTTCATCTTTTTGCATCTTGATGGCTGCAAGCTTCAACAGTTATTGGCCAGGATGGAGTCTTGTCACCGCAGAGAGCCGGCAGGTTCAAAAGCAATATACTCGTTTTTTTGGCTGTAGAGATGCTATTATCAGTACTACCTCGGCCTTGGAGCCCTGCTTCTGATGCTCTTTTATCTAGATAACATACCGGACTGTCTCCAGTGCAAGAGTGCGGTTTATCTCTTTACTAGTGGAAGAAGTTGAGCCTGTGGGGTTTCATCTTCCACACTTTTATCCGGGTAGTATCATGTTTGCTTTTACCGAGTGTCTGCTCTTTTTTCGTGGCTGGCTCTGCATGTATTTATGTTGAGAGTATCTGCCGTAGCTATTCGACTTATCAAGCTTCAAGATGGCCCTCGGCTGGAGACACGGTCTCAGTGCTGTCCGTCGGCCCTTTCAGCGTCTGTCCTGCTCGACACTTCACAGATTCTCGACAAGATGCCAGTCCTATGAAGATACGTTGCCGAATCTCAAGATAGGATCTCATACCAGAGTTCTCTTCCAGGGGTTTACCGGTGCGTTCTGTTTGGGTTTCTCATCTAGATAACTGGTTAGGACTAACATGTTTATAGGTAAACAGGTACAGAAGTCACCTCTACGGTATCTACATGCAGTGGCTGATCCAGAGCATAGGCGACGGCCAACGTCAAGGAATCACTTGCATGGGGAACGAAGATTGTGGGAGGAGTAAAGCCTGGTGTTGAGGGTGAACATCTGGGACTTCCCATCTTCCCGTCTGTTCGGGTAGTAAGTTATTATATTTATATATGCCACGATGCACGAGCTGACAATACCAACAGGCACAAGAGACGACAAGACCAGATGCTTCGGCAGTATATGTACCCGGAAACCAAACGGCCAAAGCTATAGAAGAAGCTCTCGAGGCAGAGATCCCCCTTATCGTTGCTGTTGCAGAACATGTCCCCATCCACGACATGCTAAGGGTCTGTCATATACAAGTACCTCACTTCTCATTACTGACGGTATCATAGATACACTCCATGCTCAAAACACAGTCTAAATCACGCCTCGTCGGCCCAAACTGCCCGGGAATCATATCAGCCATTGGGAAATGTCGAATTGGCTTCCAACCCCTTCCATGCTTTGCTCCGGGGAATGTTGGGATTGTGGCCAAGTCAGGCACACTCGGCTATGAGACTGTTGCCTCTACGACGAGGGCTGGGTTAGGGCAGAGTCTGTGCATCGGTATGGGTGGTGATGTTCTTGCCGGTACTGACTTTGTGGATGCGCTAAGGGTGTTTGAGCATGATGATGATACGCATGGCATTATCATTGTTGGCGAAATAGGGGGTGAGGCGGAGATGGAGGCTGCAGAGTGGATTACCAGGTATAGAAGCAGGAATGCAGAGGCAAAGTATGCATCTATCTATTTCCTAGCATATAGGACATGGCTAATACACGGTATAGACCGATAATGGCACTGGTCGGCGGTATTGAAGCTCCGCCGGGACGGGTGATGGGCCATGCAGGTGCGTGGACGGGAGCAGGGGAGCCAGATGCCAGAACGAAGATACGGGCATTGCAGTCCGCCGGCGTGGTTATGGTCGACCATCCTGAGAAATTTGGCGAGGGTATGAAGACGTTGTTGGCTGGTGCGGGTAGAAGGTCTATATCGGTATGTCTTCCTTTTTTATAACTCAATCGAATACCGGCTGATGAATAGAATGCAGATATCATCTAGGACCATTCAGCAACGAGCGTCATATCACACCTTTTCCAGAAGAAATCCAATAACCCCTCAACCGCATAGATTCTCATCATCTCAAAGGAGAAGTTTATACATCAAATCTTCTGATGCATTCAACTTATTGAAAGAGCAGAATATCTCCATCCCCAGCTCCAAGGGGCCGGCTGAATTCACCCTTGCTCTCGCCATAGATCGTAAATCATGCGGCCCCTGCATAAATATCAGCAGTGGTGCAAATGGCAACACTCACAAGTTTCCATTCAACTATCACACTCGCAATTTCGACATTGCATCTATAGCGGATACCCTCGACTTTGCCAAATATCATCCATCAGCTACCAAATCATTGGAAGATCTATTGCACAAGCTGATGAACATCTTCGTATCCAAGGAAGCCTTCCTTCTGGAGGTGAAAGTCAGGCTGACACAAGACACAAATGATGTACATGTTCTTGATGCGCGGTTCGGGTTCGATGACGCTGCATACCGTAGCTCAGGCAGACAAGGTGATATCCACGCACTGAGAAATAAGGCAGACGAGGTGCCAGCTGAAGTCGAGGCAGAGAAAGACGGTATAGTCTATATCACGTATGTCTACCTTGTGATGTATATCGGACATCAAACACTAACAGACGGATAATAGTCTTCCTGGAGAAGGCCATATAGGGACACTGGGTAGGCAATAGTCAACCTGTTATAATATATGCCTTGATGCACTGACACGTTATAGTAAACGGTGCCGGCCTAGCGATGAATACTGTCGACGCCCTCACCCTCCACGGCGGAAGCTGCGCCAACTTCCTCGACACAGGCGGCAAGGCCACCGCAGAAACAGTCAAGTCATCCTTCCGTGTCATCCTATCTGACACACGAGTAAAGAGCATCTTCGTGAACATCTTCGGAGGCCTGACGCGATGTGATATGATCGCCGAGGGTATCATCATGGCCTTCCGCGACCTGGGTATGAAAGTGCCTGTTGTAGTCAGGCTAAGAGGAACAAACGAGCAGCTTGGTCAAAAGATGGTCTGTCTCTCTTTTCTTCTTTATGCTCCTTGCATCCCTTTATGTCTATGGAGCTGTACTGATGTTGGTCTAGATAGCGGAGAGCGGCCTTCCCCTCCATGCCTTTGACTCTTTTGAGCACGCAGCAAAGAAAGCCATCAGTTTATCCCAGGAATCTCGATAGACAATCCATCACCATCATAGATATAACTCCTAAAATATAAAACGGTAGATAGAGAGTATAAAAAATGAGCAAAAAAACGAGGGACGTGGGACTCGAACCCACAATCTTAGCTTAGCTTACTACTCGCTGTGAATTAAAGTAGGAGAGCTACGCATTACCCTTCTGCCAGCCCCTCTACGCTAAGTAAGGGGGCGCCCTCTCCCGCCTCTTACCTTGGCCGCTTCGCCTCACCATCTCCCGATATCACCATCGAAACACGGATACATAAGTACTCCGTATATTATACATATACATAGAGAGAGAGTGTGTGTGCGTGTGAGTTTGTTCTATGAAAACGTTGAGTGAAAGTCTCGGACTCGCCGCGGACCTCGGCATCTCCAGCCAGCTTAACTAATAACCAACCAGTTTTTTGCGGTGGGCCGGCGGAATCATTTACTCAAGTGAACCAGCATCGTTACCAGCATTAATTAGTTCCTAGCTAAAAGCTGCTGCCTGGAGACGTTGGGGATTAGTGGATAAGCTCAATTTCTGCGGCAATGCTGGAATCGCGGCTCTCCCGGCCTTCCGCGCTCAACATGGCTCGTATGGCAATCGGAATAAGGCATAACTATTCCATGTCGCCTTCAAGATACCAGCTGCTTCGGCGGGTACCTGCTTCTGTCAGGTTGCTCCGGGCTCCAGCTAGGTCTTATTCGTCTGGTTAGTGTTGACGTATAGTCTCCCTGGGCACCGGCGCATTTCTATGCCGGAAAACTTTGCTATATCTATATTTATATATGAATACTTACCTCTGCTTCCTCAGCTCAGAGCCAGAGTGCCTTTCAAGAACCTCCTCCTCCGACATATAGAAAACGGTCTCTGTTTGGTCGTATACTTGGTTTCTCGGCCATAGCCATCAGCTCTTTCTTTCTCGGCATAATAACCAACCCGGACGTTTTCAAAATGCATTCCTCCATCGTCTCTATACCGTCTGATGAGGAGACCAACTCCCTCTACACGCCGCCGGACGAGGTGTCCAAGGAGATCAATGACTTCATCAACACACATCCCCTATCTGTTTCTCTAAGAGCAGACCCCAGATACACCGAATCTCGACCACACATGAAATACCCTGCTGAACTGCGCTCGCACAGCTTAACGGGTGGCACTCTCTCAGGACCCGGCCGCATTGTCGTACCGCCATTCGCATGGAACACGGAGGACGGCAGCTCATTCGTCTCGATATTCTACCTTGGCTCCGACCTCAGTGGCCACCCCGGTATAGTCCACGGTGGACTGTTGGCTACTTTACTTGACGAGGGGCTGGCAAGAACGTGTTTCTCCGTTTTGCCGAACAAGGTTGGTGTTACGGCCAATTTGAATATTGACTACCGTAGTCCTGCACCGGCAGGCTCGTTCTTCGTCATGCGAGCGAAGACAACCAAGGTCGATGGGCGCAAGGCGTGGGTTGAGGGCTGGATTGAGAGTCTGCCTGATGATGGCTCTGAGCCTACAAAGTATGTTGAGGCAAAGGCCTTGTTCATAGAGCCGAAAAATGCTGCGGTATGTTCGGTTGACTTACCCTCTTTCCCCATGTTCTTATGCTAATATTATTCTTGACAGCTCATCCCCCGCCTTTACAAGGTTACCTGATCAACTAGTTCATGTCCTTTTTGCATATATACACTTAGATATTCGCCGGCGACTCGTCTTTATTTACCTTCTTTTCTGTACGGTCTTATGTTTGAAAGATATGCCTATACTTGTGTTAGATGTTGGTACCTCGGCGAAGATAGATTTATGCCACTTAGACTTGTTTAATACCAATACATGCATTATATCTGTGAATAATAAATAATATCATCCTTCCCTTCAGTTTAATATGTAGAACTTGCTTGATAGTCGTGGTGGAGCCAGGCTCGAAGCCTTATTGGTCCTTTGGCCGCAGCTCTTTCACCTTAAATCCATCTAACAACATAACAGACTATCATCACCACCTCCCACTACTCAACCAGCTCTTCCCTGGCCGAAGGACGGACGGCATCTACAAAACGAGCATTCATATATCCCCCTAGCCTACCTTATGACCGCACTCGCAGCTGTATAACCGCCACACCGAACACCTCGTTTCAAACGTCACCATGTCCAAGCAAGCAAGATACATCCTCCTTTCGCTGCCAAATTCCATCTCCCCTTCACACCACCGCGACGATACTCTGGAAACCATACGCTCAACAGTCGCGGATAACGGCAATGTAGCTCCCTTTACCGTACCGGAGTTCAAGATCGGGACGCTAGATGCCTTGGTGCAACAGGCAGATGAATTGGGTAAAGTAGAAGGTCTCTGTGAGAATGTCGTTAGCAAGGTGGGAGATGTGCTTTCGAGCGTGCTGGAAGGCGATGAGGCGCAGATATCGAGAATGAAGATGGTTAATGAGAGTGCGTTGCTCCCTTCACATTGGACGAGTGGGGTATTATTCGAGAAGTTTTGGCTGATAAGGATGAAATAAGGGCCGTTGGATCAATACTTGCAGTCCTTTTCGTGGAATAAGGTCAAATACAGAGCTGACAAGTCGTTGGCGGAGTTGATTGATTTGCTACAGAAGGTATTTTGCCGAAGTTATCTATGCAAGAGCTCAATGATAGCTAATATATCTCCCAGGAAATCACGAGTATTGATAATGATGTACGAGCAAAATTCACCCAGTACAACGGTGTAAAGTCGAACCTGGCTGGTCTACAACGAAAGCAAACGTTTGTCATCCCTACAACTTCCGTATATCATCAGACTTGATACTCACGTCTTCTGTAGAGGAAATCTCTCCACCAAATCACTTGCCTCAGTTGTCGATCCTAGCCTCCTGGTGCAAGACTCTGAGTACCTAGAAACTCACCTCATTGCGCTCCCTAGCCGAGATGCTAAGGATTTCCTACGTGTCTATGAAACACTTTCACCTATGGTCGTGCCACGATCTTCTGTACTGATAGCCTCTGATGAAGACTATACTCTTTATGGCGTGACAACATTCAAGAAGCACAGTGCCGAATTCATCCACAAGTGCCGTGAGAACCGATGGACGCCAAGAGAATACAAGTACGTCGAAGACGGAGGAGAAGAGGAGCGTAAAGAGATCGATCAAGTTGCCGGTGACGCTAAGAGGCTGTGGGGTGAAGCTTTGAGGCTTGGAAAGACAGGATGGGGTGAAGCTGTGATGGTATGGGTACACATTCTTGCGCTGAGAATGTTCGTTGAGACTGTACTGAGGTACGGGTTGCCGCTGGACTTTACATCCGTCTTGATCAAGGTACGACTTCATCTTTTTGCACTGGATTTCTTTATATGTATTAAACTAACAGCCTTCAACTAGAGCACGGGTAAAAACGCTAAAAAGATCAAGGATACACTCGACTCGGCGTATTCTTACCTGGGTGGTAATGCGTTTACTCGGGACAAGAAGGGTCGGGTTCGGAAGGACGATCCGAACGAGATGCAACAAGTGGGTGTTCCCGACACGGCTGCCGAATATACAGCTTTTGTATATTATGAGTTCGAGGTTGAGTAGTTATCTTGGGCTCACAGTATATACTACTTTGTTATTCTTTTTACTTTGGTCTACATATCTTTACTCCTATGGGGTATTTTTACGTTATTTGTGTGGAATTTTTAGGCTCTTTTGACCGCAGACATTAGAATTGGATGAAAGGTGGTTAATAATAACCAGCAGTTTTGCTATTTTCTTACCTCGTTTTATTTTATTATTGGACGGACGAAGATTGTTGTACTCCGTACTTTTTTTCCCGCCTCCGGATAATCCACCTTTTTATCTATGGTAAAAGAACCGCTCAACCACAGGTCCTGGCAAAGAACCAGAACCCCCAGCAAATAGCAAATGGCTCGATATAGTTGAATATACTTGGTACCGGGTTTTGATAGTCCAATCCGGTTACAAAAACCTCATCAAGGATAGAGCAACTAGAAAGATGGTCGTTTTATCCAAGAGCAGGATAAAACAGATTGAGAGCAGAAGACTCCACAAATCGAAAGTCGATATAGGGTATAGTCCCCTCCTTGTCAGAAAGCTGTTATCTGATCCTCAAACTGAGCCGCTGACCGACATATCTTCAGGCGAAACACGTTTGGCTGTCACCAAGATCATCGCCAATCACGGCCAATCAGCCGTGGCAGAGGCAGGTTCATGATTAGCAAACCTATGGGTCTAGAATTTATGTACTTCCCTAGCTCCATCGCTCGGCGGAGCCAATGCCCAGGCAGGCAATCAGGATGCTTAGAAATATTTGGGTCCAGGGCCATATGAATTAATAACTCACTTGGCTAGACGGCTTTTGAGAGCAAATTGGCCACATATACGACAGCTTATATACGGGGAGCGATGAAGGAACAGTTTCAGCCTGTAACAAGGTTACACAGGTTACAAGACGGTATGCCGAGTCGGGATCTTTGTTATCGACCCCCAGCGTTGAAGAATGATGATGGCGATACCCTGAAGATGTCTACTTTGTAGGCGAAGCAATGAAGAATCGATTGACAGACAGCATACTGGTATTCGGATACATATATCGGGCCATAACTCAGATGCTAATTTGGTTGAGGGAAAGAAAACTTATCGCTGTTGAGTTCCATGGTTCCGAACGAACCCTTGGAGGGGCGTTTCATCTACCAAACTCTGCAACGTGCTGCGCTTCTTATCTTCAGCCGATGCACGAACTATTCAGGACCCGATCTGAACCGTTGTTCTTGCGGTCAATCGTCTTGTAATCTTACCCCGGGAACCGGGATCCCCCCCTTACTACCCGTCGCCGAGTTTATCCCCCCCACATCTCGAGGAACCAGGCTGATATAAATCTCGACATCTCCGGCTCTGGAAGGAGAATATTTTCATTCTTCATACCTCGTTCACGTCCACTGTCAAACAACCTAGGAATCACAACATTCAGTCATAATGGCCGAGTAAGTGGAACACAGGTTTTAATAGAATAGTAACAGAGAAGCTAACTCTTCGCAGTAACATCGTTCAGCACGACTCCGACTTGACTCGTCTGACTCGTGCAGCAGCCCGTGGTCAGCATGGATTCACTCTTTGGTTCACCGGTATTTCTGGTTCTGGAAAGTCTACTATCGCCGTTGCGCTGGAGCACGAGCTCGTCGAGAAGCGTAAACTCGCCGCTTTCCGACTTGATGGAGATAACATCCGCGCCGGTCTCAATAAAGGCCTAGGTTTCACACCGCAAGATCGAACGGAAAACATTCGACGTATCGGCGAGGTCGCCAAGCTCTTCGCCGACAGTGGTGCTATTGCTATCACTTCCTTCATTTCGCCATACGCAGCAGACAGAGATGCCGCTCGTAAACTACACGACCTCTCACCAGCTGAGAAAGAAAGTGGAGAAACTCCTCTGCCATTCATTGAGGTTTACATAGATGTTCCACTTGAGGTCGCTATGGACAGAGACATTAAGGGGCTCTATGGAATGGCAGATAAAGGATTGATCCAAAATTTCACTGGTGTAAGCAGTACCAGCACGAAACCACAAGGAGGGAAATCTGGTTCAGGATATGAACCCCCTGAAAATCCCGAATTACACATCAAAAATGATAACAGTATGGAGATCCCGGATGCCGTTAAGACCATTATTGAGTACCTCGAAAAGAGAGGATTACTCGATAGTCCACCAGATATTGAGACCGCGAAAGCTGAGTCTGCCAAGCTCGTGGAGGCCGGCCAGGCTTTGAAGGAAGCTCGACTTGTTAAAGAGCAGGCCGAAAGCGCGGAGGCTCTTAAAGCCGCCGAAGCCGCCGCAACGGCCACAGCTGCCAAGGCTGCTGAAGCTGCAACTGCCGCCGAAGAAGCGAGCGCCAAAGCTGCCGAAGCTGTCAAAGCCGCCGAAGTTGCCGAAGCCCTCAAAAATGCCACGGCTGCTGAAGCTGCCGAAGCTGCTAAGGTTCTCCAGGCCGCCCAACTTAAAGCCTTCAAAGCTGATGGGGTTATCAAGGCCTTTAAGGGTGCCCAAGCCGCCAGAGCCGCGAAAGCAGAAGCAGAAGACACAAAAACCGCTAATTAGGCTGCTTATCTCATTTCTCACGTTTTCATCGCCCTCTTTCCCTCGTCGTTTGTTAAGATATCCTCCCAGGCCTTTAGGGTATGGAATTGTCATGAGTTGCGAATATAGATAGATTTGGATTTTATTTTATACTAGTTGTATCTGAAACGAACTTCTAGAACAAGCATTGCATGTAATTATTGAATCTACAGTCTTCCTCTTTAATACGGATGTGGAGAGAATATACACAGAAGATCCATTTATCACGAGCTAATCTACTAGAAATTTGCTATATTATCTACTCAATCGCCGCGTGGACTAAGCACAGCTTTAATTATTACGACGTGCAACGTTTCCCTCAATCAGATGAAGTGCCGAATACCAATAGTATCATATACCAGCAGATATTGACAAATGTTAGGGAAATGAGTATTACTCTATTTGACTGCTTATAGAATATATTGTGGTGGCGGTGACGGTCAGCCTGCATGATATGATTGATCTGCACAGAGACTACGGAATTCCTATCAGCTTACCGAGCTGTTTTCTATACATGAAAACTGATTAAAGACAAGAAAAAAATGATAGGGAATTAGGTGTCTTATTTTCCGTACCAGCTCGCTAGATTTACTGTCGCAAAAGAAGTGAGGAACAAAGTTATAAAACAGTTAAACAGACAGAGCAAAAGAGAAAAAAATGGTCTATACTTAACCCCTGTAAAACTTGGATTCAATCCATGGCATAGGGGTGACGGTGGCTTTGCGGAGCTTCTTGCGGACAAGAATACCAACTTCCGTTCCCTTCTTGTGCAGCCCTTGTTTAATGTATCCCATGGCGATGTTCTTGCCGCCGAGAGTTGGACTGGGGAGGCCAGAGGTTACCACTCCAACTTCGGTCTTACCATCTGCGAGGTCGACAATGACTGCTCCCTCACGAGCAGGTGCGCCGTCTTCAACGGTAAAGCCTACTCGTCGTCGAGTGAGTGTCTTGGCGGGGGAGGCGAGCTGTGGGAGGATAGTGGAAGCCCCGTTGAACTTGGATAATGGGGACGATGGGTCCCGTCGGTCTTTGCCAACGACCCAACCAAGACCAGCAACGGGTGGGGTCTCAGCGAGAGATATGTCATGGCCGTAGAGGCACATCCCAGCTTCCAAGCGGAGAGAATCGCGAGCAGCTAGACCTGCGAGTTTGACATCTGGGTTGGAAATGAGAAGTTCGGCTACGCGGCGAGGTAGATTGGCATCTTGTTCAGTGGGAATAGAGATTTCAAATCCATCTTCGCCAGTGTAACCCGTTCTAGAAATCAGGAGGCGTGATGGAGTACTTGATCCGTCGGGGAAGGTTAAATGGAGCTGACGACATTGACCAAAGTAGAGAGTTGACAGGTCAGTCTCGGCGGAAGTTTCTTTCTTGATCAGGGATTGCAGTGCGTTCGCACTTGCGGGGCCCTGAAGGGCGATTAGAGCCCTGCTGTCGAGGATAGACCAGCTTATGATCGAGTCACGCTTGGAGGGATCCTGAGTGTTTCTGAAAGCCTCAATTTCCTTGGTCAGAAACTCCAGGTCTTCCTTGCGTCGGCCAGCGTTTGTCACAAAGTAGAAAGACTCGGGTCCAAGTCGGGTGACCACAGTGTCATCGACAATTCCGCCAGTACTCTCATCCAAAAGGCAAGAGAGGGTAGAATGGTTATCCTTTAGCGAGTCAAGGGAGGCAGGAGTAATCTTCATCAATAGATCTCGTGCGCCGGGCCCGATAATGTGATGTTGTACCCTAGTGAATCACTCAGGTTAGTATTCCACTGTAAGAAATCAACAGAACAAACGAGCACTAATAGTAAGTTGATTCTAATATACTTACATGTGGCTCACGTCAAACAAACTGGACTTCTCTCGGGTCCACTTGTGACTCTCAACATGGCTCAGGTCGCCGTATTGTAGGGGCATAGAATACCCCGCGAACGGGACCATCTTCCCTTTATGCTCAATATGGAAGTCATAGAACTGCGTTTTCTTGATATCTGATTCAGCCGTAGAAGAGCTGGAAGCATATCTCAAGCCCGATAGTTTTCCTGCTACAAGGTTGGTACTCAATGGCTGCCGGCATCTCACAGTCGGAGCTCCGTGAACCTGACGGTAATGCCGACTCAATTGAGCGCCGTAGATAGCTCCATTCCAGCATCTGGAGCTCACTCTGGATGGGAGGAAGCCACCTCTGGCGAATTGAGGTACTCTTGCGACTGGTTTCATCGCGAACATTGGTATCCGACCTTCAAGAATATGTGCAAGACGAAGTTCGGCAACAAGAATGAAGTCGGAGAACGTTCGGAAAAGTGACGGGGAACTTTTTTATAGCCGGTCACGTGGAGATACGCCGGCTAAGAGCCTTTTTCGGCCGATTACCTAATGAACAGGTCACGGGACTTTTTATTTCCAGACATAAACAAAACTTTTCATCTTGATCTCACTTCAAAGACACCAGAACTCCTAACGTCCTCCAACTCTTCCTTCAATCATCTTTTGCATTTAATTACCCTTTATTGAAAGCAGAGATCCTCCATTTATATGATTTCACAAAGAGAAACAATATGCCAAATACCCCATAATTCTTGGCTCCGCGAACAACCAGCCTTGACTATAGAAAAAGAATCCCAGGAACCTTTATAATCCATTGTCCTTACAGGAAAATGCGCTACCAACCTTTCCACTTTGGTAGTTGAGTATAACACTATCAACAGACGCCTAGTTGGGTTGTTAGTTGTTTGTCAGCTTCAAGTACTGCGATTGAATCGACTCACATAAGTTCCAGGACCAAGGAATAACAATCCAACTCCGATAAGGAAGATATTCACACCCCATCCGATCCATCCTCTCATGGTACGGGGTTTTTCTGGTTTTGCCGCCTCGTCTTCCGATTGCATTCGTAGATAGGCCACTCCCCAAAAAATAAACCCAAAGAAAGAGTCAAAGAGTGAGCTCATTATGGACAGAAGGTCGGTGAAGAATGGAATCACTTCTGCAACAATGAATGCTAGTATCCAAACCACTGCCAAGATACCAGCCCACGCAGACCAGCCCACCAGCGTGTGATCTGTCTTGTGACGGGTGTTGTCAAATAGGCGGAAAAAGATAAACCGTGCAGAAACCGACGCGTAGAGGACCCCGAGGAAAATCAGTGTAGGTACCATGAATGAGAATGCAATCTTTTTGTAAATTTCGTTGCTGAGAGAACCAAATGCTGGTGCAGTCATGTATTGAGTGCCGGTGAAGACATAAACCACCGCACCCACGATACTGAACACAATTATCTCAGCAATAGTGACCGCCCAAAGCGCTTTGCTGAAATCTTTCGGGTTTCGCATCTCTGCGATGAAGCTTGGAAGCGTGATTTGGCCAATGAAGGTGTAGCTGATGTTCAAGAAAGCTGTCATACCCGCCATAAAGGTCGTTCCAGGAAGAGGAAAAGCCGTTACAATAGGCTCACCCCCCATTATCTTGCCATCAGGGCCTTTATGGCTGGGGTCAGGGTTATACTTGGCCGGATGGGCCTCAAGACCGGCAAATACCATCGAGAGGAGCACTGAAATAAATGTGAAAAAAGCCGACAGGGTCGCAAGTTTGGAGAGTGTGTTGAAAGTTCTTGGGATGGAGCAAAAGAAAGATATGATAGCCGTCACTGCAACGAATAGAACGGTACAGGCGCTGTGGTTCGTCATCGTGTTTAAGTACTGAGCACCTACTAAGCAATGCAAGGCCTACAAAGATACATTAGTGGTAAAGGATTGAAGGACTTGGAAAGGAGGACAAACTTGGATGAAGGTATTGTTGAGGAGAAACATTATGGCCGTGAGGTACCAAGCTGCCCTAGAGCCCCAGAATAGCCGCTGACCGATGTCACAGATGTCCCGTACGTCTGGATGGCGAAGACAGTATTTCCTTTAAAGGATTCAGTGGTTAGTATAACCGTCTTCGTCTTCTCTTATGAATAGCACTCACCAAATGATCAAAGAAGTATATAGTACCATGCCAGCGACCACAACCGTAAGTATCAAACCCGGAACCAGACCAAGGACCGAGTAGGAATATGGAAATGACATAATGGCTAAGCAGATGTACTCTGAAAAGAGCAGTGCTGCAGTCTAATCCATACGCACACTGCGATTAGCAGTCTGACCATATGGGTAAAAGGTGGATAATTGTATGGTATGATTATCGTGGAAACGGCAAGGAAGGGAGTTCAAAATTGAACTAACCTTCTGCCAGCTGCAAGTCCTATACTTTATAGCATGGTCCGCTTCCATTTCAACCTGCTTGCTCACGCTCATGGCGGAGCTGGTGTCGTCTTCTGTGCTGAAGGTTTCATCTTCAATAACTCCTTCATAGCCGCCGCGAGTTATATTTTGAGAGGCTTTGCTTCCATGTGTAGGTAACGGAGAAGTATCGACCATTGTCAGATCTTTGCCGACACCATGTTCAAGATCTAGCGCCATTTAATAGATCTGATAGAACGCTTCCAGCGTACGGGAGCAGGAAGAGCGGTAGCGGCAATTCTTCGATCGACTGATGACATGTACGTCTATTTCTTAAATATAACTGAAGGGTGCACTTTCTGTTTTCAGAGAGTCCGGGTGTTGGAGGTATTAGGTTTGAGCGTCTGCCTTTCTAGAGGTATAAATATCGGGATTTCTAGGTTACTGAAATATATATATGTGAAAAGAATTCAAGTGGAATATCCATCAGATTATATAAATGGAGACGGCTATCCCCTCGCTCCAACATGACGTCGTATATGCAGTATTAAGGCGGAAGAGAAAAACCTAAATCCCTGTAAACAGTGGACACGGCCTTGCCTCCCACCCACATCTCAATCTCCTCAGGCATATTTTATGGTGTTAGCGTATCCGTTGCATCCTTCGAGTTGTTACATAAGAATAGGATTCCGGCTTGGCATAAACTTGACATGCAACTCGATGATGTCATATTAACCGAAGTCGGTTTAGCATGACGGCGTCCCCGTTTCTCAAGCGCCAAGCGCCCAGCCCAGAGAAGCTTAACATCTTGACCAAGTAGTTTATTATCACCACAGTATCGAATGCCCAAGTGTTATGCTAATGCGCCCGCTTAGTTGATATCTGCTCGGCTGATCCTGCGTACGAAGAATATACCTTCCACCCTAATACGTAATTTTTCACTTGACCGCATTAGATATAATGGCTGGGTGGTTTCAATCACTTATGCACCTAGCAAGCGTATATTTATTATTTCGGAACCATATTTCCTTCTTGGACCTCCGTCTTAACTGCATACGTCACCTCTATATGTGTAAAAGAGCAATGATGGCGTTTGGTAGTCCTTTTTAATAGCTCTTGTCCACTGTGTCTTATCTCTTTTGGAATCACTACCATTGTACAAGACTAGAAGGCGCAGTTCCCCAACTCATTCGGAAATATATAATAGCCACCGGGTCCCCTATCTTAGTCTCTACACCATTTCATCACCGATTGTATCTTTGAAACAACTGCACCCTTTTTCAGCGTGATATAGGCGTTCCTAGCCCCTGCACGCAATGACACCCGGATTCTTTTCGCAGCCTATGCTATCACATCCTCTCTTTTGGATAAACAGCTACTCTACCCTTACAATTATCCTACCCACCCGTTATTAGACGTATTCACCTTAATATCACGAAGGCCACAATAGTATCTACGCATGCGGCTACCGAATAAAGCTTGTCCAAGCAATCTGCTAGGGAACTGCAATGAGGCCTGCAGCGGGGAAGAGAAGGGACCTTGCCAATTATCTGGGCCAAAGTGGACTATAAGTCAACAAAATCAGCACCTAATAGCGCCTGCGAGAAGGCAATGACTAGAAATGATGCCGCAGGGATGAACGCCAGATTCAAAAGGAAGTAATTAGAATAATTATGCAGGAATAAAGTGAGCTGAGTCGCAGTATAGTGTAGTAACCGAGGGAGAAAATTATAGCAACATTTAGCCACTCTCTTCTGTAGTGGCGTAGACTATCCCGAGTACATGGTAGGCAAAGGGTAGATACTTGGGAGGGAATTATTAAGGGAGATAGCGGTGCTAGAGAGCACGTTTATACTATCGGTATAGATTAAAATAACAATAAAGAGAATAAAGATGTAAAAGTGGGCGGTGAGTGTAGGCTAATGAATACGTGAGCCTCCATTTACAATTATCATACGTTTACTTAATTTTGACTATTGAAGTCGAAGATTTAGCTTTCCGCAGTATCAATTTTGTTTGTCAGCCTTCAAACTTGAAAGTGCGTTGAAAGGTACGTTGGCTAGGAGATAAATATTCCTCGAGTTAGATATAAATATCTCTTTTGTATCCACATATTCGTTTGTAAAAGTTATATAGATGATTCATCTTCTGCGGGTACTTCCTTCTTTCCGTAGCCGGGTCTGCAACCTTTTTTCTTCATTAACTCAGCAATCTCAACTCTTCCATGATTTAAAGCAAAATCTAATGGGGTGAGTCCATCACTTGTTTCTGGGTTCAATTCCAATCCTTCCGCTGTAAATACCATATCAAACATTCGTCTAACACCCTGGGCTGCCGCCATATGAAAAGAAGTCCATCCAATGATTGTTTTGGCATTTACATTTGCCCCCTTCTCAAGAAGCAACCTAGTTGCTTCGAAAGAATCAGGATGCCTTGTACGCGCAACCGAAAGTAGCAGTGCTGTAAGGCCTTCATCATCTGGTATATCCACCTTTATTTCTTCCCTGGAGAGTAGCAGTTTCATCATCTGAAGGTCGCAGTGCTCCGCTGCTTGTACCAGTGGATTCCCATCATTACCTCCTGCGTTTATGTCCACACCATAGTCATTTATAAGTAATTCAGCCACCTCTCGATCCTGCATTTTTGCTGCCCAGCAGAGTGGTGTATTATCGATGGGGCCTTCTGCATTCAAGTCCAGTCTCCCTGTATCTGCCAATAGTTTAACTATTGACTTATTTTTCCTCCTTATCGCCAATATTAGTGCTGTATTCCCTCTTTCATCTGCGATGCCCACATCCACTCCTTCTATATCTACCAGAATTCTAACCATCTCCTCATTCTCAAGCCTTACTGCACTTTGTAGTACAGTTAACCCATTTCTATCCTTTAAATTCATGTTCACTCTTCCTATGTTCCCTAATGTTTCAATCATTTTCTTATCTTTTCTTTTTACCGCCAAAAAGAGCGGCACATCATCCAGGATATCACTTGAATTCACATCTACTCCCTTTTCCTTCCCCAAGATTTCAACCACTTTATAGTGCCCGGACTGTGCTGCGTTAAAAAATGGTGTTCTTCCCATAGTATCTCTACTATCTGGCTCTATCTCTTTGTAGGATAGTAGTAATTTTACCACTTCGTCATGCCCGTTGCATGCAGCCCAAGATAATGCTGATTTGCCGTCTTTGTCCGTTAAATTTGGCCTAATCCTTCTGTCTGCTAGTAGGAACCTCACCACACTAATATGGCCATTCCCCGCCGCATAGGATAGTGGCGTCCTTGAAATATCATCTGTGGAGTCTACTATTACCCCTTGTTCGGTCAATAGTAAATTAACAACATCGCTGTGTCCATTCATTGCGGCCAAGGAAAGGGGTGACCTTAAATGATTATCCAGAAATTCAACTTCCACTCCTTCAATAGATAGTAATAGTTCAACAGCCTCTCTATGCCCATTCTCTGCCGCGATAGATAGTGGCGTCTTACCATCGTTATCTTTCAATTTTGGATCAACCCTTCTATCGTTTAGAAGTTTTTTCATAATGGTGACATGCCCATAACTTGCTGCATAGAATAAAGGCATTCGGTGAAATCTATCAGCAATATTTGGAAGCGCTCCTTTCGCTAGAAGATAATCACATGAGTTGATATCTCCCCTCTCTACAGCATATGATATTGCGCTGCGATTGTCTGTACCGTTCCATTCAAAGGCAGCCCCGTAGTCTACTAGAGATTTAACAACGGGACTCCAACCATGCTGTGTCGCAAATGAAAGAGATTTCCCTCCTCTTACCCCATCTTCAATGGCAGACTCTTTATCTAGAAGATATAACGTATCATCTAACTGATAATCACGAATTGCCTGGAAGAGGAGGATTCCTTTCTGTTTGCTTCTGGTTGTTGTGTTATGATCAACATTTTCGAGGCTAATGTTTTGAACTGGCTTCCCTCGATCGTTTAGCATTGACCTTAACGTTTCTATCCGGCTTTCGAAGCCCCCCACCCTATCTCTAAACTTAGAATAGACAATGCGGATGACAGCTATGCCATAGGAGTTGACTACGTCGGCAAGAGTGAAAGGGGCCTTTCCGTCTTCATTTCCCCTTCTGTCCGACCGTCCTCCTAATTCCGTAATCTCTTCCTGTTTAGGATTGTCTCTTGCAATTAATAAGATTTTTTCCAGCTCATTAAGAGTAGATTTGTTGAGAATCGTAATGATACCGTTTAGGCAAAATTCGATTTCCCCACTTAGCATAGCTTTGCGGTAACACTCGCACAAGGAGAGTGTCAGAAGGCGCTGGTGGTTGAGCAGCTCTTCCTTTGTCTGATATTTTTCTTCTTTCGAGGTCATCTTGGGCTGTTGGCTATGGGACAGTGCCCACGATAGTAGTTTTTCGGCTTCTTCCCACCTCTCTTCACTTATGTATATATCTGCCGCTTCCTTAGCAGTAGACAAGGCCTCTATAATCAAAGGTAATTTTCCTTGAAGTATGAGAGCGGGGAATATACATGTAAAAGCATCTCCTACTGACCCCAAACCGCTTTCCATGAAAGAATTTTGAATTTTGGAGATATTTGTATTTGCAAGGCCGATACCGTCACTCCTTTGAACATCTGTTTTTCCACCGATAGACTTGATGGCATGTACTATTGAGGAGAAAAATAAGGAATAGATTTCCTGAGCACACATGATTGGCAATGATCTTGTGTCAGCTGCAATCTCCAAAACTGTACAGCTTGTATGGTACTTTAAAAGAACATTATTCCGGCCAAAGAGCGGGCGTGTTTGTTGGTTCAGTTCGATATCCGTTTCCTCTATGCTAGAGCTTCCACCCTCACGCCAGAGGTTAAAGTCAGCCGTGGGGTCTTTCCCGGTAGCAGAATGCGGTTTTACCGAAAGTATACGCTTTAAAGGTGTCTGCATCTTTGTGCCCATACTTCGAAGTGACCATAACCACAAACCAAGGACAGCTTCCAGTTCAGATTCATTGACGCGCCATACTCCTCCAGAGTGCCCGTTTTTATCAATTTCACGAGTCAGTGAGAGGTATATGTTTCCATTGGTATTGTCTTCTCCCAAATTACACTGGATCGCCCAGAACAAAGTAAACGCCGAGCTCCATCCTTTCTCCAAGCGGATATCGGTGGTAGAGATTACGTGCATTGTGGACTCAATAGCCATCGCCAATATTCGTGCGGCGTTTCGGACACTGACAAGTTTCTCATCCCAACCATCACTCAACCGGGCAAGCCGAGCTCTATACATAAAGGCCTTTGCAAATCCATCCTGCACCCCCGTGACTTTGTCTAGGGCCAATTTTGATTGAACAGCAGCTCGCCATCTTTCCGGTACCAATTTAATATTAGATTGCCATGCTTTGTCTACCTCCAAGCAGGAATCCCACCAATCTTCAGGCTGCTGGTATTCGCTGGTGTTACCTTGTTGTCTTATGGATTCACCGCGGTCTAACCGAAAGCCAGATAATATACAATTGCCGGCATGAACCACAAACATCCTCCTAAACTCGGTGCGTTCATCTGGAAAGGGCTGGTTCCCCATGGAGGAGGTCGGGCCAAGCAGTTTCCATCCTATTTCGGAGATATCTGCTGTATGGTATGGAGCGGGTGAAACTGTCCACTCCGGTTTGAATTCAGGCTCAGCATCATTTGGTTTAGGTTCAGATCCAAGATTAAGTGCGAGCCAATCCAGCTCATGCCCCTTGTAAAGGTCAGGTTTATGTGCTAGAGAAACTTCCTCCTCGCTTATCCTATTTGCGCGGAGCATGGAGCGCACCACACTCATCACAAGAGTGACTCCCAGCTGGGCAACTGCCACAGACGAATGACAGGCTCTGAGGCCGAGAAATTGTAGTAAGAAACCGACTGATGTACAAGTGATACCACTCCACACCCAGATCCCATTGCGTTCGTTCTTCCCTATCTTCCAGGAGGTGATGTATCGGGGTGAATCCACCTTTTGGGTGGGTGTATGCAAATGAGTCGAACGCCTGATCGCCGACAAACTGAGTGCCTGGTTGGACCCAGTACACTTGGGACGCAGAGCGCTCTTTTGATCCATCTTTCTTGATTTTCCTTGTAAAAACTCGCTCCTTGGTGCTGCTTTCAATCAAAGACGCGCAAAGAGCAGCTCCAGAGCATAAGAAAAAGGTGCCAATAACAGTCAACGGAACGGCATAGGCGTCTTGTAGGTCTTTTTTCACATCATTAAATTTATACCTAGCAATAGCAGCCCAGACCAGTACACTTGACTGCAGAAGAATCCCAAGTATAGCAGCTGCGGTAAACCAAAGCCTTGTGCCTTGTTTTATCCCTACGTTTAGGGAAAGATTTGGATTTATTGCAAAGTCTCGCTCTGTATCGGCATCATCTGACATAGACTCTTTCTCTTCATCTCTGGCGGGTTTGCCGATTTCTTCCCACTCTTGTTTATCCTTTTTCAGGTAATCTTTAAAGGAGTAAATTCCAGCGGTGGCTTGAGCATTGGGTCCTTTTTGATAAAAGTCGTCATTTGTGGCGTTCGGGTCGAGAACAATTTCTAGAAGCTTTGGGCGGCCAAAAACCCGGGCGATGCCTCCGTTGTTATAAAGCTCACAGACTTCTCGACTGGTAGACGAGCAAAGCTCGGCTTCAGCATTGCCAGCTCCCTCTTGAGCTCGTCCGATGAAGGCTCTGAGGGATGGTGTTCCACAGACACGGATTGCTGATACGACTATAGTTATGATGCCCAAAGGTGCCATCGAAAAGATGATGATATCTGTCATGTTCAAACATTCACTCAGGTATTGTTTCGTAGGTGCCTCTCCGAATAGCGAAATGAGCGGCGCTAGATCAGTAGCTAGATTGTTGGAGAACTCGCTCCACCAGTCGTTCGCCATTTTCAGGAGTTCTCAAATGTTTGGTATAAGGGTACTGCACGTTGAGAAGTAAAAAATAACAAATAGAGTATTCCGTATAAAGCAAGTTGAACTCGCCTTCGCTTGTGTTTTCTTTCGGCTCTTTGAGCAGAGAGGCAGGATGAACGACTAAAGGTTTAGCCGCCGAGATTGACAGCCCATTTTGAGTTCCACTGGGGGCCAATTGACTGCTGTTGAGCTGCTGCTTGCCGTCATCTCATTGAAAGGGCAGATGCGGCCCGAATCAAAATCGAACAAGGGTTACCATTAACAGCCAATTATTGTAAACGAATACTCCAGGAATCTAAGGAGGTTTGGGCATATCCCTATCATAACGGCTTACCATTAAGTGGCCTAACCTCTCCCTATTTAGGCGATGCATAGCCATTTATTTATTGTTTCTTTGGGGACTAGCGAATGGGTTAACTGACAAGTGGTTTTACCCTCAGCACTAATGCAATGTATGTAGAAGCTCTTGCTCACCTCAGGCAGATACCTGCGTCGGTTATCCAAAACGTCCCAAGATCACCCCCATAATCTGACCTAATCTTGGGGCTAGGGATGTGTGACGTGGCAACCTTATTCTGTAAAGTCGTCAAAACGGACCAAGTAATGTGTACCGTACGTTCCGTCCCCGTTGCGGATATCGACATCAAGCGCATGGTTTGGGTCTCGCTGATCGGTTTACACCCACTTTAGCTAAAATTTCGTAGGCTGGGTTAAATTGTGTTCTGCATCGTTACTGATTACGAGGTGAAGGCATTGTATACGCATGTCGGAGTATTAGGTAGAACCTGAGAATTCAGATGAACCTGCTGTCGTAACTGAGGTGATAGCAACGCTGAGAATATAATAAATTGAACTCCAACCTATTTCCCGGAAAAGGCAGGTATACCATGTGCTGGATTCTTTGCTAGGGCACTCCAGTGTAAGATTCTCCAATAGAAGCGCTGCTAAACTTACAACTCCAACTGCGTTTCCTTTACACAGAATTTGGCCTTATTTTGACGCGTATGATCTTGGGAATGAAGTTGTGTAGTTGGTTGGAGGTTGTTGGATGCTGGAAGGTGTAAAGATGGACGTAAAGTAGGAGCTTAAGTAAGCACATGTGACGTAGCGGGAAATTTATTATCCGCAAAATACTAGCCCCGTGGAAGAACCATTAACCATTTGCATAAGACTGCGATGCCATGACATCGCATCAGCTATGATAGAGGCATGATGTAACCGTAGACGCCACCCGTACTCCTATTAAAAAGATTACTCTGCTCACTATGGGGAAAGGAACCTGGCGGTTCTGATAGTTACCAATGTGACGCCCTCTTTCATTTGACTCGATGCCAGTGACAACAAGGAAAATGAGCGAAAGGCAGCGGCAGGAGGAGCAAAAGTACGGTAACATTGACGACCTGGTTGCCAACTATGCCATGATGTATCCTGTTTTTTGTACTGCCAAAATACCCCCAGAGGTATGTTATAGACATAAGCGTACCTGTTCATTCTCTGCTCACTTACCTAGATTCTTAATGAGTTCATAGACGAGTCATACGCAGGCATAATCGATCTCCTTGCACCGGATATTGTCGACCCCGGTGCGTCCCCGTGTATTCTCCAAACCACCGATCTGGACTCAATCACCCACGGCTCCCGCAAGCCAATGCCAGACTTCGAGTCTCCCTTTCTGAACTGGACGGATAAACAGGTCCGAGACTGGGCGACAAAGGAGTGGAAGCGCCAGCGTGAGTGCTTCGCCATGAGAACATTTACAATCCTCGATCAGAATTCAATCGACAATAAGGTATGCCGGGTAGGATATATTAGCGTAAGGGAGGAAGATGCCGATTATCGAATGTTCCACGAGGTCTTTTATGCTGACTTACGGATAAGGATTGCCTTGCAAGAAGCCGAGATTAGCTGGACGGAAACAATATTGCGGGCGGATGAAGTATATGACCGGAAGGTAATGGAGAAGGAGGCTGCAGATGTTGAAAAGAGACGTCAGGAGCTTCAGCAGAGCAAAAGCCAGTGAAGATTGCACCTTGGATTTAAGACGCTGGCTTAGTGTGATCATTGATCAGTAGCTACTCAGCGCACAAAATGGGAGGGAAGAACTCATCGTAATACATAGGGATAGCTGCAAGCGAGAAAGATGCCTACGGGCGTCGTCACTGGAGGTAGAATATGAAGAGCAGCCAAGGAGTCACACATTGGAAGCATATTTAGTATCTCGCTTAGCTGTAGGTAATTGGTATCTTATTCTATTTAAACCTAGTTGCTAAAGAATAACAAACATAATCACTTATGACAAAGGCGCATCAAATGCTTTTTAAGTACCTCCAGCGCCAGTTTCATAGTACATAGTATGGCGGACTACACCGTAACTATGCCCACCCCTATAATGCGATGTTGGAGATCTCTTTTAACCTCGCCACCCCGTAAGAGTAGATCTTCTATCTTCTGCTATATAAGTACCTTTATATATTCCCTCAAGACAACTGTAGAAAAAGATCAAGCATACGATCGAAGTTTGGCGTCCCCAACCCCGTCACCGGATCCCACCCAGAAGACGCGTGATAAGCCGGTAGATTAGCACAATCGTAATTTGATCCCTTGGCCACATCGTTCAGGACTTGAGGATTTGCATATAACACTGGGTTTACAAAGCCCACTGGTTGTTTCCCCATATTCAATCGAGCATCGTTAATCCACGCAATGACCGAGGCAAAGACAGGGGCTGATGCTGATGTCCCATATACTTTCACTAGTTTCCCATTCACAGCAGTAGCATACGCGGCCGCGTTGGCCGCTACATCTGGAAAACCACGGCCACTCCCAAATCCAGTCACGTTTAGGTTGACGGGGAGGGTATATTTGTTTTGAAGACGCTGTAGATAGTCTCTAGTAGCCGTAGCTTGATAACCAGGGACAGCGAAGACGTTGCTGAAGCCACCCGCGGAGGTAAGGCGTGAGCTAACATTGCCGTCTGAACTAGTTATGATGGTGTCGAATGCAACTTCAGCATCAAGAACACTACCGTTGGCTGGTACCTGAGTGCCGCCAACAGAAGTTACATATGGGCATGTCGATGGAAAAGTAGGTACATAACTAGGCTCATGATCAGAGATCTGGTTGCTGTCTATAACTGTATTCCCGCACATCCCATCTCTTGTAGCGGTACCGTGGTCGCCAGACGCAAAGACAACGGTAACACCCTGGAGACCAAGTTTGAGATATTCCAGACACTGGCGACGCTCATAAGCAGGACTAAATTCACCCTCCTCGTATGCATATGATATTGAGATCACTTTGGTAGGTTTATGTGTACCACAGTCCGAAGAGTTATACCCACTGGGTAGAGGGGGGTTAGCCGGAGTAGGATCAGGATAGATTGGGTCATACACCGGATCGACCGCTGAGCAATAGGTAGAGTCGAGAGAAGCGAGAAAGTTGTTCATGTTGCCCAAGCTCCATATGTCTCCAACCTGGTAATTTGTTATATTAAGTGGGTGTGTCAATGCCATGGCATATTCGATATCGAGATCGGCCTCTCCATTAAATGCAAAGCTAGGGACCAGGGTTTGGATAAATCCGCCATCAATAGACTCAAATTTTGGTCGATTACCAACCATTGATGGTTGGAAAATGTTAAAGAATTTATCCAGATCACTCTCCAGATACCCTACCCATGTAAATTCAATAATCCCAAGAGAATTGTCCGGATGCGAGGTATTTCTGACGGGGATGTGGTAGAGTGCGCGTAGGCAGTCGGGCGTTATGAGTTTGTCGCAATTAGATGGTAAGGAATCAGATAATATCTTGTTCTTGAGAAGACCAACTGATGAACCAAAAGAAAGGTAAGGAAAAGGAAAACTGTCATCCGCGAGCTCTACATAGTGGCCGGGCGATTTTCCAGATGGCATCCTCGGTTCTGGATCTTGGAAGCTTCGGCGCCGCAGCCCATGGTGAAATTGCTCCGTAGTGGTGATAAAGTCAACATACTTCTCAACGAATGTAGCGACGCTGTATTTTTCGCATATTGCCAAGGTTTTGTTGGTCAGTTGGTGCTTATAGATGTAGAAAGTTGTATGAAGCAGCTTCTCTGCCTCCTGAGCTGTTATATTCATGTAAAGTTCCCCACCACTTTTGGATCTGCGAACCCCAGCGGGAGCAATACCGGATTGATTGAGCCAGCTCATCACTTTTCTTGCGGTGGGCTCGCTTGGCGCAAACTTCGCCGCAACAGCTTCAGCCGTCCAATATTGAGCATACTGAGGCGAGCTTGGATCAGACACGCTGAGAAGGTAGTCTTCGGCATGTTCTAGGTTTTGCTGAGCCAATGCGATCGTCAGCGGGAGAAAAGCATGGGGATCTATACGAGACACTCTTTGCCACCAGACAGGAATGGATCGTTTTTCATGGACGTGGTAGCTAAGGTTGGCTGCAATTCCCGATGCGTAGAGGACGATGTAAATGAAGTACATAAAAATCATCGTAGACATATTGGTAACTCGAACTGCCTTTGTAAAAGGTTTTGTAATATAATAAAAAGTTGTATCTAGTTTAGTTGTCTATAGGAGAGAAGAAGTATCAAATGCAACTATCGTAGATATAGAATATGATGCGATACATGGACTATGGAGACTACATTGGTGATAACAGAGGTAGTTATATATGTCATATATAACCAGGCTCGCCTTTTTGGCCGAATGGCGGATTCTGACATTATATAACAAACTCTAACCTGGGCCTCCTATAACTGGTTAACTAAGGTTAAGGGATCCCGAGGTCCGAACCTAACCTAGATATCACTCCACGTTTAATCAGAGATGACTACCAACTTCGCAAATCGGTTAACCTTGCTGATAATACATATTGGAGTCTTAGAGACTAGGGATATTAAGGGACCCTACTATAAGCAAGGTGTCTAACCGGAAGAATATACATTCGCTCAACTCGGGTGGGTTTAATAGTGAAAATTATCTCCATATGCATTTTAGTTACCGTTTGACTATTAAACTTTAACTACAGCCTAGTATCTAGTTAAATACTACATCAAACTCATGAGTCTTTGTCCGATCACACATGATACGTGTCTAGGGTACGATACTATCTTACAGATATCTAAGGCCTTTTTGCCTCTTTGACACACTTGGTATCAGAAAGGTGTTGACCTACCGTATTATACAATATGGTAAATACTGTGTAAAGAAAAAGACCACTAATTTGAGATACGGAGCAACTGCATAAGCACTCTTCCTTATATTCGATTCAAAAGCGGATGTAGTTCTAGCTAATCTTCTTGAGATGTATAGAAATATTCCTAGACACTGTAAGAAAAAGTGAAAAGGCATCCTATCCTCAATTGTTGCAAGAACATCTCAACAAAATAGCCTAATCTTTGCTAAAACAAAATAACATTGCATCTTGTAATTCATAACATCCCCCTCTCATATCACATCAGCCTCAACCCTGTATATCTAAGAATTCTCCTTCTTGGCATCGTCTTTCTCGAATATAGTGGTACCGTTGGGTGCAACAAGGGTGCCATTAACAACCGAGATTGGATAATCCACTTCACCGCCATCCTGCGCAGTTGCAATGCAAGCTGCAAAGCATGGGCCGTAGCATGCTGCGCTTGGAGGACCTAAGCCCGCACAGGCAAGAATACAACCCGCGGTGCATTCAGGCTACATGGGTATTAGCATGGTAGTTATAAGGGGGAGTTAGTCCTCTAGCCAGAATTCTGATTGCAAAGCACTCACCCAAAGGGTTCCCTATAAAAGCAAACACTACGGGTAAGCGGCCAATTCTCTGTAAGCTACAAAAGGGGACGGATATTCCTTACACGCTTTGCAAGTTGGGAATAAGCCTCCAGTTCTGGGGCTGGGGCGGCGAGAGTAAGGCCCAAAAGGGTTGGAACGAATGCCCAGGTAAAATGCATAGTGGTCAGGTTTAAAAGGATACTTAGATATTCTTCAGGTTTTCAAACACAAGGTCAAGGAGAATGCTTCTTTTAGTTACTAGAAAAGCACCAGGAGATAAGAGGAAAGAGACAGCTTATATAGCTCTTTTTGGTCGCACCCTTGTATGAATGCTCTTTGTAATAACTTCTTACATTGGTAATAAAGAAGAGTGGTTGATCTATTACCTTGGGTATTTTATTGGGTTCCATACGTACCTAACCGTGCAAACCACATAGTTCTTGTGAACACCATGTTCTACATTATACAAGTCATTGAGGAATATCTTAGAATGGGAAGACATTTTACTAGGGTATGAACTGGCCAGCCGCCAATAATAATGAGACTGTGCTTTGCCTATTACTCCGGAAAGAGGGGCTACCTCATTCTAGTTATTAAACAAAACAGCCTTTTAGAGTTTATTAATGCGTAAACCGTTGTCGTTCCTTAGTTTCGAACGGGAAGCTCAAGAACATTACGTACCTCCTAAGCTTGGGAGTCTATTATGTTATCTGATTTGCTGATCTTGAACTTGTTGGCTCGGGGAGTTAATTAAAGTTGAAGGAAGCTCCGGAGGTATTTTAAAGGATTCTAAGATACATCCGTTCTTATTTCGTAGTTGGTTGTATGATACATAGTTACATATCTTTTATGAAAAAGAGTTCCAAAAATAGGTATGTCTGTATATGTATATTGCCTATCCCTGCCACGCTAGCTGCCCCTAGTATAGGCCCGAAAAGCGAAATGGCACGACTCACACCAACAAGGTTAAGTAGCTTGCCAGTCCAAGGTTGTGGGCTTTCAGCCTCATACCTTGTCCTATTTTGATCGTCACCAGACTTCGATTACAGTCTCAGTTAACTTGCCTGTCTACTATAGTAGAAGGGCGGGATAGCCCGCTTAGCCTAGATTGCCTCACTTAAATGCCTTACGTGGGGTGCAAAGGGTAGGGTTCCTTCCGATGGATTCCTCGTCCCACGGTGAATTGTTCTCCCACCTTGACGCGTTTTGTAGTTACTCTGTAACTCGGATGCGCCATTCCGCCATGCGTGCATTAGGGTTCGACTTCTTTGACATGACTATTATCTAACTCTTCGTGTTACTGGTGTAGGTGGGTTGTTATTGGACTGGGCGACAGGGCGTAGCCGGGTTGAAATCCCCCATCAATTCTGCTCGTCCAGGGTTAGTACACCGAGGAATAGTCACTGCATAAGTCTAGAGAATCTGGAAATATGGACGAACCGACACAAGTAGCCATCAACTTTACCTCCACTATTGCTACCAACATTGTAATATAGGCCGCATACTGCATCAAGAAACGCCCGATGCACGTCAGGTTTACTACGGATGTAGATGCCTTGTCCCGTATTGCCAGTCGCACTACTAGCTGCAATGTAGGGTCGGATACTACCATAGTTAAGCAAGATAGGATCAAACCCTTGTCCTAATGTCGGCTATTTATCTCGCCGGTTTCACCGTCCTTGCCCCAACGCCAGAAACAGCCTGCATTTGACATCTGAGTGTTATTTTTAAGGTGGGTATCAAACAGAACCAAGGGTAAAGAAAAAGGGATACAATTGGTAAATTCTCCTTAAGGCCCCGCCGCCGGGAAATATGCCATCAGGCATATGCGTTAGTATATACAGGTATAGACTTAACTCCGTGTTAGCAGGTGACTCAATGCAGCATACTATGCAGTACAGTGAGCTCGCCATGTCATGTTGACCAATCGGCCTGTTCCACTGTTCAACAAAACGGAGAGACGACTTTTCGTGCTTCCTAAAATATGCAGTGAATTCAACTTCAGGCGAGTATCAACACAAATATTAGTTGCAGCAAAGAAAAGCAGCATGACGAACGATCAACCATATACTACGGCTGGCGCCGCCGCAGAGGGCTTCCAGCTCCTCCATCGCGAGAACAACGCCGCGAACTACGGGTATCGTGAAGCCAATCGTTTGAACCTTCAGCATTTTCTCTGGAGAGAAAGCCTTCAGTTTAATACCCACCCTTCAGTTCTCCCCTGCCTTGCCCCCGGTCCTTTGAGCATAGCCGATGTCGTCTGTAGTACTGGACTTTGGCTGATAGATACTGCACGCGAACTGCCTCATGCACAACTCGACGGACTCGATTCTAATCTAACTCTCGCCCCTCAGAAGCACTTGTTACCATCAAACATTGCCCTTTATGAGTGGGATGTCTTCCAGAGCCAGAGCACTGTTCCCTCCGAGCTGGTGGGCAAGTACGACTTGGTCCACGTCCGCTCCCTGGCAACGAGACTGGCGGAGAAGGACCTCAAGCCCGTCATCCAGCGTCTATATCAGCTGCTCAGGCCCGGTGGTTGCTTACAGTGGGATGAATCAGACTACACCAACATGTGTGTTAAGAATGCCGATCCTGCATCAGAAGCACCGGCCCTCACGGAACTTCTTAAGCTGTGGTATTCAGACGGCCACTATAACTGGACGCGAGCATTACCCCAGCTGCTAAGAGAAGGGGGATTCCAGGTCCCTGTAGATGAATATTTCGATGCCAAAACCGAGTTAGTCAAGGCATTCCATGACCTGCACCTTTTGACTCTGGATGAGTTTGCACTGGCAATCATTCGCATGGGGAAACACGAGGCGGCTGCTCAGATATTCAAGATGGTCAGTGATAGTGTCGAAGAACACAGGCGAGGCGCATCGTTATCTATTCCACAGCTTGTGGTCGTCGCGATCAAGCCGACTGTTGTGTAGTTATACTAAATGCACCTGGTGGCCTATTGGAATTATTGAAGCGTAAAAATAGTTACAGGCGCAATCTGTAGTAGCTGATATGGCGTAGAAAATGAAGCAACTACCAAAGCCAGAGCAGACTCTACAGCATAACAGATAGCAATAGTAGCGACTCCCACTATATCACCCAAGTGCGGTAATTGACAGGAATCCCCTTAATAACATCACTTTATGATCAGCGGCTATTCAGCGCTCATTCTTCTGTGCTTGACTTGTATTATTTACTATAAAATAACTAAATTATTACTTTTAAATGTGCTTGCACTAATTACCTTGTCTAACGAATAACTGTAAAAATTGTGGTATTTAAAGGAGAGAGCTCTTGTATTTTTAGGTACCCTTTGCAGTTTTTGCATCTTCGACAAGGCCCTGAGGATCTAGTCGATTATCATAACCACAAAAGCGATATTAATATATACAAACCACTGAAGATTTCGACCAGTCTATTCCGCCATCTACACTCATACTCGCAAAGTTACATCGCAAGGTCACTGCCGAACCAACAGCCTGGAATAATGTGCGCCATGTTTCTCAAACTTTTAAACAGTGCGGCCATAGTAAACCTGTGGTTCAGGAAGACTATAAGAAAGGGAATTGCAAAACAAGATGTGAAAGCTATTATTTCAAAGGTTGGTGCAGGCCCATGTAGACTCCGTAAGGCATGGTACCTACACTACCAAGATGGTAATAAATTGAATAAAAGACAACGCAGGATATCCGATAGAATATGGAGGCTAGTGAGAAGCAAGCAGAGGGAAAGTGCCGCATCCTTATGTAAAATTGTCATTTAATAAGAAGGTTGCCGTACATATCCTTTTAGACGCCCTTAGGTATCCAGTTGGCGACTAGCAAACTTCAAACAACAATATCAACCCTAGGTAACGTACAATGGCAGGGCCCTAAGTGTCATGCGAGTTTGATTTCCCAATCTCCAAGTAGCAGAACCAAGTAACAGGCCTACTTAGATACTTAGAGGTTATGCCCGAATAAACACATGGTATAGTACTATCAAAAAGCCAAAGAGATATGGATGGGCCCGGAAACTCCTGCGATGAATTCACAAGCGGTTAACTGTGTGGGTAGTAATACAAGAGCAGCCACCGCCGCTATGTCATCGTTTCCAGATTGTGATATCAAATGCTTGTAGTTAATATGGTGGGCGGTGGTAAATTGAAGCTAGAGTTTCCCTTTATCTGTTCAAAGTGTCGCACGTCATCAAGTACCTCTTTTATATATCTGAGATGGTCCGCTTGCTGGTTCCATGACTATTACTACTAAAAGTAGTGTGTTCCACGAACCCGTTGTGCGAGACGAGGAAAATTCCTCTGGTTGTACGAGTAAGTATGGTAGACTTCGTCAACCGTGGGATGCTCCGTTGCCAGATGAGGGTAACCTGGTGACGAAGGGTATCTATGTCATCATCAATGACTATCCAATGTCGGTATATCGTACAGGAGACTCGCACCTTTAAACATCTCTGTACGCGTCTTAACTGCTATAAATAATCCCTGCAAGCAACCTGCAGCTCGCGTCTATGCTCACGTGCTCATGAAAAAAAACCGCAAAACGCACATTCAACTTTGAACTCTTCGTTGACATGAAAATTTCAACTTGATAAACTACCACAACCGCCATCAGTAGCTGTTGTATATGAATATAAGTGTCTTACGAGTGTATTGGCCGCACTAGCTACCTCTACGCAAGCGCTCTTGAAACGACAAGAGCGACAGAGCCTCCAATCAGCCCGGCTAGCTCAATCGGTAGAGCGTGTGACTCTTATTCTCTTATAACAAGTTTATATCAGTTGGCCATCACAAGGCTGCGGGTTCGAGCCCCGCGTTGGGCTTTCTTTTTTGCTCCTTTTTTTGTTCATTTTTGCCGCGATGACAGGGGAAGATGCCGGTGGAGTTGATATCCACTAGATAAACGTCATTCAATTCATTGATTTTTAGCTTCCAGAGGCAAAGAGGGAAGAGCTTCATTTTGAATTAAAAGGAGATAGCAGGAGGCATAGTTCCCATCCCATGAAAGAGTAAAAGAATGAAGAAGAGGGATATCAAGTCAAATAATTGAAAAAGGAGAGAAATGGAGAAGCCGTCGCTGACGTGGAAGAAGATGATAGCTTCAAAAGGCTAATTATCCTAGGCCTGGGGGTTGGTGGCCTGACCAAGGCGCAAAAAACAGGGGTAGCGGTTTGAATAATAAGGGAAATAGATATAAAGATGATAGGTTAAAAAAATTGGACGAAGACAAAACGCCGAGAACACCGAGCAGGAAAGGAGAAACACCAAGCTAGCCGTTAAAGAAGATGAGGGCGGGAGGAGGAAAGTCCTCTGGATAAGTAAGAAAAAAACCGGGAGATGCAGCGAAAGGTGTCAAGGCCCAATGGTGTGGTGAACAGATAAAGGATGCATAAAAACTTCATACTTCATGCAGGAGATACGAGGGTTTGTGATAGGTTCGGGATGGGTCGACGCGGTGATTTGATGGGAGGTCGGTTGGGTAAGCCACGGAGAAAAAAGTAAAAGAGGCGAGAACGGAGGCCGCCACAGAGAGGTTGATCTTCCTTGGCTGGGCCAGTTCGCCATTCGAGGGAATGCAGAATGGTCCATGTAGTTATATAAGCTTGGACGTGATCGTCGTCAAGAGACACTTGGACAACAAGGCAGCCTGAATCAAAACGGCGGGAGATCGATTGGGACTTGGTTCATCGAAATTCGACAGCAGCGCAGCATCCATAGTTCTCCACGGGCTTGAGCTCGAGTTGTTGGTATCTAGATTGGGAAAAGGAAAAAAGAAAGCTGTTAGTAGTGCTAGTTTAATCAGGCATCGTGGTGAACAGCGGTGAGACCTACTTTTCGCTCTTTGCGTGGAAGTAGATGCCACTGATGGTGCCCTGGACTTGGTTGAAACAGATGTAGTAGAACCCTTCGAAACTGGCGCCAGAGATGGTCTTGACACGATGGTCAGGCACAAGGAAGGCCTCCTTCCACCGCATGAAGATGTTTTCTCGCTGGGCGTAGTCCTTGTAGGTGAAATCGGGCTTTTTGGCGAGTTTGGCTAGGGGTCGCCAGGCCGGGAACCGGGACCAGTGGTGCATGTCTGTCTTCTCTGTGGCGCCCCAGTCTTCATGGCGGGTCTGGAAGGTATGTTTGGTACCGATTATCTCGCCTTCAAAGAAGGTGGTCAGAGTAGGGTGGTCCGGAGTCAAGCCTATACCGGTGTTAGATTGTATGTAGACCAATGGAAGAAAACAGGAGTACCTTTGATCTTGAGGTATCCACAGAGATAGGACTCTGTCATATCGACGTTCTTGATCTCCACGTCGACGGTGTAGATCTGCTGGTCAGACTGCTGAGTGCCGATGAACCTACTACCGCCTCTAAAGTACGAGGAGGAGTGATCCGGTACGAGCTGTGCTCGGGTCAGCACTCGATAGCAACGCCTCCGTTGATCGTGTGTGGGGGGTACTTACTCTGGCCTCAGAGTACTCAAAGCCCATCGAGGTCCGATGAGTGGCCAGAGTATCAAGGTGAGCAGCAGCAGCAGGAGGAGGCTCTCGCTGCTCATCCTTGATCTCCGTGGCAACAGAGACGCTCGTTGAAGGGGTCATCGGCTCGTCCGTCTCATAGTCGTCGGTAGCAGTCGAGTCGGAAATAGGAGACCGCACTTCCTCGGCAGGAGCCAGAGGCTGCACTCCAGGCCTCACGGCCGAACCGGCAACGGTGGTCTCTCTTCCCAAGGGCTGCGTCGCAGTCGTGTCATCGTCAGTCGCAGACCCCTGAGACTGATGCGGAGGTAAAGCTTCGGTTGTCGTAGCCGAGCCAGAGGCAAGACTCTCCCTAGCTAGCGAATGTTGCGCTGAAGAGAGGCCATTATCGGCCGCAGCGTCGATTCTGCCTTCTGCAGACTCGATCCAGGAAGTTATCCTGTCGGTTTCGGGAGGGCAAGTCGGTCGTGTGGTCGCGTTTGAAGCAGCTGGGACTGGCAGATGGGGTCTGATGTCACTGTGGGTTGGCATGGAGACGACTTCAGGACATAGGATCGATTGAGCCGGGAGACGCAGATAGGGAGCGCAGGATATGTAGCAGACACGCAGCAGCTTTAGACGGAGAGAGAGAAGACAAGTTAGAAATGTGTCGATGTATGTTGTGTGTGTGAAGAAGAAAAAGAAGAAGCAAAAAAGGGTTGAAGAAGTTGGAAGGTTTTTTGGTCAACGCACTTGCAGGGCCAAGCAGGCCGTCGACTCGAGCAGCGCAGCGCCACTAGGGCGAGTAAAGGGGGTCATGCGATCGCGGGGAAGGCCAGGATGGTGAATGTCTTATAGTGAATGTATATATATAGAGAGGAGTATAGTATGTATAATAGTATCGGCTGGGGTGATTATAAACAAGTGAGTGGCTAGGCTTTTACCAGGTCTACACGGAGTAATTCGTTAACAGTTAAAAAAGGAAGACTTAATTAGATAGACCAGTCCTAAAACTCCAGATAATTCACATAAAAAAGTTCCCTCTTCCTATTTTGAACGCTTAGATGGGTTTTATCTAGAGAGATGGTCAGTGACAGCTCATGATGACGTGGGTTGACAGCTTCAGCGACAGGGGCCATGAAAGTGCTACCTTGAAGTGTAGGGATATTAGTGAAAAGACGAGTGCCTTGAGGTCCTGTACGAGATAGTAGAAAACTCGCAGGCCCTCTGGATCCGCTGATTCGGTGACATCGACTAGCGAGCCTATCTTTGCTGTCTGCATGCCCAGTTAGTATATTCGCTCTCGCCCTGCCCAGCGAAAGAGAAGACGCAGCCCACCTCGAAGGATATGTGTTCGTTTCCCAGTCGAATCTCAAGCTCCTGTCTTCCATCCTTGTTCTTCTGTGGCCATTTCGAGTCATCTTCCCTATGGGTTGAAAGAAACCCCGAGTTAGATATGCCAGGTTGCAGCAGGTAGAGACAGCCAATGCGCGACGTACTTGAGGATTTCGCTCTCTTTGATGATTCGTTTGATCTCCTGTATCAGTAGCGAGCTGACACACACTGCGGTAAATCTCTTAGTCCTCCTGTTTACCATGCGTTTCAAAAGGGATATGACAGGTATATATGACGTACTCTCTTTGCGGATGAGGGAGTCATTGCGGTAGTTCGAGTTGTTAGCATAGCGGGCAGACGCACTACGGCCGTCGCCGAGGGACTTGAAGTCGAATTCTACCGTCAAGTCAGCTCAGTGACCCCCCCTCGTAGAGAATAATATCAAGTATATCAACTCACCTAGAAACTCATGTCCAAACCGCCCAGAGTGTCCCGAGCTGAGTCCGTCAGCAGGAGGGAAACCTGGGCCAGAAGAATAGGGTGTTCCTTACTAGTATCGCAAGTAGAAGGTCTCGTTATCGCCCGGCATCTTGACCTGCTCTTCTCCCAGTCTTCTTCTCGTCTTTCTTCCTCGTCTTGTTTCTGTTTCTTCTTCTTCAGCACCAAAAAAACCCCAAAGTGATGCTCTGCTTAGTCATCCACACATTTGGCGGGCCGCGCAAATACTGGCCAGAGTGGACAAAGTCGAAGAAGCAGAAGAAGAAACAGAAAACATCTCGACGGCGCTTCTCTCGATACAAGATATAGGGCCGACCTTGTCGAGAGCTCTGCCGCTACGTCGACCTACCCTTCTGCCAGTCAAGGCATGCGGACGCTACTCTGAGATTCCTGACATCCTTAGGCCAAACATATCAAAACCGCCCCCCGTTCACCCTTATATACTATATAGCTACCACGACGAACGAGACGAAGGGAGAAGAGAGACGTCACAATGGCTTCCTACATGGATCACTCGTACACGCTGGTGCATCAGGATAACTCTGCCGACCAGCCTACGGTTCAAGAGTTGAAGACACAGCTGGAAAAGGGCACCGATGAGACCAAGCTGGAGACCATGAGGACTATCCTTATTATGATGCTGAACGGAGACCCGATGCCACAACTGCTGATGCACATTATCCGCTTTGTTATGCCGTCTAAATCCAAACCTCTCAAGAAACTGCTCTACTTCTACTATGAAATCTGCCCCAAACTCGACGCCAATGGCAAGCTGAAGCAGGAGATGATCTTGGTCTGGTAGGTTGGACCCTCTCTGTCGGTAGATCTGAGCGTATGCTAATTTAGCTCGCATGGAATAATATAGCAACGGTATTCGGAATGACCTGCAGCATCCTAATGAGTACATTCGGGGAAACACCCTTCGATTTCTCTGCAAGCTTAGAGAGCCGGAACTACTAGAACCGCTGCTCTCGTCCGCACGCCAGTGTCTCCGCTACAGACATGTATACGTACGAAAAAACGCAGTGTGGGCCATTGCTTCTATATTCCAGCACTCTGAATCCTTAATTCCCGATGCCGCAGACCTCCTTTTGGCCTTCTTAGAGACAGAGACCGACCCCACCTGTAAACGCAACGCTTTTGCAGCTTTGATCACCATCAGCCATGAGAGTGCGTTGGTATATCTCAGCTCTACCTTTGACGGCGTAGCAAATGCCGACGAGCTGCTTCAACTGGTAGAGCTGGAGTTTATAAGAAAGGACGCTGTACAGAATTCCCAGAATAAGGTGGGTGTTTTTTAACTCTCAAGCCAACATCCGCAGGGCTAATGTGTCTATATAGGCAAGATATCTTCGGTTGATTTTTGATCTTTTAGACGCAAATACAAGCACGGTCGTGTATGAGGCAGCTACCTCTCTAACGGCACTGACATCGAACCCCGTGGCTGTAAAAGCTGCGGCTGCAAAGTTGATCGAACTATGCATTAAAGAGGCAGACAACAATGTTAAGCTTATTGTACTAGAGCGTGTTTACCAGCTCATGAAGCGTAACGAGGGGGTCCTGGATGATTTGACAATGGAGATCCTACGCGTTCTCTCCAGTCCTGACATCGATGTGCGACGAAAGGCCTTGTTTATCGCTCTTGAGATGGTCTCCAGCCGAAATGTTGAGGAGATCGTTCTTTTGCTCAAGAAGGAGCTTGCAAAAACCGTCGATGAACAATATGAGAAGGTAATACATCGAAACGTGATGGATATGAGCATTTTACTAAACAATGATTACAGAACAATGAATATCGACAACTTCTCATCCAGTCCATCCATCAATGCGCCATTAAGTTCTCCGAGATTGCTGCCAGCGTCGTCGACTTGCTCATGGACTTTATTGCCGATTTCAACAACAACTCTGCTGTCGATGTGATAAGTTTCGTCAAGGAGGTCGTTGAAAAATTCCCAAAGCTCAGACCATCCATTGTTGAGCGGCTAGTTTCTACTCTTGATGAAGTACGCGCCGGTAGGGTATATCGCGGCGTCCTGTGGGTTGTAGGTGAATACTCGCTCGAAGCAAACGATATCAGAGAGGCCTGGAAGCGCATCCGCGCCAGCTTGGGAGAAATCCCCATCCTCGCCTCGGAACAACGTCTGCTGGATGAAGGCCCCGATGCCGGTGCTGCAGGCCAGGACTCCGTCAACGGGCATGCCAAGTCGACAACTGGTCCCAGGGTTTTGGCAGACGGCACGTATGCACAGGAATCTGCTTTGACCAGCGAGTCTGCAGCCGCAGCCAAACTAGCGGCCGTCAAGGCAGCGCAGAAACCACCATTGAGACAGCTCATTCTGGATGGAGACTACTACCTTGCAACAGTCCTTTCCTCGACACTTACAAAGCTTGTCATGCGCCACTCCGAGCTTTCACAGGATGTAGCTCGGACCAATGCTCTCCGCGCCGAGGCCATGCTGATCATGATTTCCATCATCCGTGTTGGCCAGTCGCAATTTGCGAAGGCGTCGATCGATGAAGACTCCGTTGACAGAATTATGTCCTGTGTACGATCATTGGCCGAGTCTGCTCAACGGAAAGAGCTTGAGGCTATCTTTTTGGAAGATACGAGACAGGCGTTCCGCGCTATGGTTCAAGTAGATGAGAAGAAGCGAGCCGCTAAGGAGGCGGTTGAAAAGGCTAAGAATGCCGTCCAAGTGGACGACGCTATACCCATTCGACAGCTGGCAAAGAGGTCTGGTGAAGAGGGCGCAGAGGAGATCGAATTGGATCTGGCCAAAGCTACTGGCGGTGACTCGACACTTGAAGACCTCACCTCTAAGCTTAGCAGAGTTGTCCAGCTTACTGGATACTCCGATTCAGTCTATGCAGAGGCATATGTCAAGGTCCATCAATTCGATATTGTCCTCGACGTGCTTCTCGTCAACCAAACCACAGATACCCTCCAGAATCTCTCTGTTGAATTCGCTACACTCGGTGACCTCAAGGTTGTTGAACGACCTACAACCCAGAACCTTGGACCTCATGACTTCCTAAACGTCCAAGCCACAATCAAGGTATCCTCGACTGATACAGGCGTCATATTCGGTAATGTCATATATGACGGATCTAGTTCCGCAGAGACCCATGTAGTGATTCTCAATGACATCAAGGCCGATATCATGGATTACATACAACCAGCTCACTGCAGTGAAACCCAGTTCAGAACCATGTGGACTGAGTTTGAATGGGAAAACAAGGTTAACATCCACTCCAAGGCCAAGAGTCTGAGAGCTTTCCTGCAACAACTCATGGATCGCACAAACATGAGCTGTCTTACCCCTGAAGCCTCCCTAGAAGGAGATTGCCAGTTCTTAAGCGCCAATTTATACGCAAGGAGCGTCTTCGGTAAGTTCCTTCACGCCACTTCCGCATCCCACCATCCACTATGTTAAAACTAAACTAACTCTTTTTCTTCCCCTCAGGCGAGGACGCTCTTGCGAACTTGAGTATCGAAAAAGAAGGTGAAGACGGTCCGATCACGGGCTTCATGAGGATAAGAAGTCGATCTCAAGGGTTGGCGCTTAGTTTGGGTTCTCTTAAGGGCATAAAGGCTAACTCTGTTTAATCATGATAATCTGTTATTTTGATGTTGATGAAAAAGGTAGATATCTATTCTAGTCATTGGGTGTGCGCTTTTGCCCCCTATCCATTCCTACTCATCTCGTTCCTGTTCCTGTTCTTGACTATGCCTCCTTTTTGTTCCTGTGGATGGTAATGAATTTTCTATTTAACTTATTTTCTCTCCTATGGGGTCCCATTATATTTCCAATCCATATGACTCTCCAAAGCTGCTTTTAGGTTGGGAAATCAATGTAACATGATCAATGTCTTTCTTCTTCTGTGGAATCAATGTAGAAGGTAAAATGAAAATTCATTATTATATATATATGCTATAATACATTTTTCTTTGGAGATCGCCTAAGGCGATAAACACTTTTGTTTGATTATTAGAGTATGTTGTAAATATCATTAATGGACATAGAACACCGTAACCCAAATTCAATCTCAGAATACCTAGAGAGAGAACAATATCCCCGAATTCCAGCTTGCCTTGCAAAAATATTCCTGTAATGCTCCTAATTTCCCCAATCTTGTTGATAAAGGATGAACAGCCTCGAACTGTCGGGGGGACGTCGTCCCCTGTTTCGTGTTCCTGATACGCTATCGCCTCTTGTTAAGGCGTTCAAATCCAACTGCAGTTAGAAGAAGGGCCAAAGGCCACTTGTATGATCAAGGGGGCGTGTCATGTGTCATGGCCTGAACCTCTTGATCCCCTCATACCTTTGACGACGATGGCTTAGGTGCAATCGCATAAGGACTCGTGACTTGACTGCTAGAGGCTGGCGCCATCTCATAGCTAACTTCAAACTCCGTCCTTTGTATAATTTCTTCTCTTGAATCGCTTTCCTTGAATATTCTGTTTTTCCTAGCCTCAGCTGGAGTAGAAACAACTACGGACGCGGAATGTCCGTGTGGATGATGGTAAGTAGATGTCCGTATACGAGCTGTAAAAAGGGATTTGTAGGAAGCGAAGCATGACACCATCACCGCGATGGTGGCTTCCATTGAGCTCCAGAATAAGAGCCATGATGGGGGTGATAGTTTTGATTTACCATCAGTTTCGATGGTACGTAGGATGGATATTATGACAACTGCGAGGCCAAGTAAGAAGAGGCCGACAAGGCCTAGTTTCTGCGGCATGGGAAGAGAAGATTTGAGGACAAATGTAACGGGGAGAGATACGACTGTTTGTGACGATGGTTAGCTCTGGCTTATATACGGCTGCGGGGAAGGCGTGGCTTACTGAGGATATCAGTGAGGACATCAAACACTGTGCTCACATAGATATCTATGGCTGAAAGTCTGATCCGCTTGGGTGAGATGCATCCAACTAGTGCGATAAAGGTTAGAAAGAAGAATCCAAAAGGGGGAGCCATTCAGCTTACGAGCAGTAAAATCCGAGCATGCAACCGGAGGAAGGATGATCGAGATTGCGAACCCGATCACGGTAACGATGACAATAGCGAGCCACGCTCGACGGAATAAATGTAGACTGTGAAAGAGTCTCCAGAGCAAGGCCAGCAGACTGGCCTTGACAAGATATATGCATATCCGGAAGAGGAAGTTACTGGAGAGCACCAGCTTTACCATATGGTCGATTTTGCCTAGAACGCCTGGCTGCAGAAAGCCACGGTTGTCTTTATACAGGTCAAGTAGCAAGTAGACCGTTGGAAGAGCCAGAGTGGCTAGGATATTGTGGCATAGTAGGAAGATATAGGCAAGGCCCGCAAGTATATCATCCCAAAATAGTTTCCGATGCAGCCGGAGTCGAATTGCAAAACGGCTTATAAGTAGCAATGTGGTAACAGCAAAGAGGGTCCAGACGGATATCTATAAACGACAGGTTTAATATCTAGTAGATAATGTATGCCGCAGCCATGAGGAATAACATACCAGCAACGCATGGCGACTGATTTTGCGCGCGAGTACCAGCTGGTCTACGTCCATGGCGAGAGGGGTTGGAAGCGGCTCTTGTAAATCCAGATAACTCGCGTGCTAGCCGTTTAAGGACGCATGTCTAAAAAGAAGATGGTATAATCCAGCAACGGTGGTAAGTAGCCCTTTGAACAAGTCAGACTTGGTGTGACAGAAAGTTGAGATCTATATGCACGATATGTGCAGGATTTTTTTGGGGAAACCCGGTCAATATAACCGCATATGTACTGTGCCTCCCAAATGCCATGAGTTGTGCCTGGCGAGCGTCGGCAACACCGTCTGATCAAGTTAATTAAAATCGAACAACCCTAGCATATGAGGCACAAGGGTGTTGCCTGGAGCAGCCCCATCATGCGCTGTGAATTACCTCGAATCTCGATTTCCAGGGGCGAGGCACAAGGGGGGTGTATCCACACGCTTCAGTTACAGAACGAACCATACTTCGTCGTCAAGAACCTCGCAGTTGGCTCATCCCAGTGATGACGGTCTCGATTGGGACCATTGGTCAAGAACCGAACGGCTCGCCACGAGAGGGATACGATGACCCTCCCTGGCCCACGATGCCTGGAGCGGAGTTTACTACTTCATAGTTTTTGTAGTTAGGCTCTTCTTGTCCGTCGCTAAAAAAGGGTCGTCTCCCTCTAGCTTGAGACAAGGCCGGAGTACTCCGTATATAGTTACATCTACCGTGGCGGGAAACGGGAAACGGCTCTCTTCTCGAAGAATGGGCTTTTGTGGGTATCATGACTTGAACCAAGAAAACACGATCTCCATATAGAATCATCTTCTTCTATCAATCGGCTTGAGTATCTCAACCTTCTTTGCTTCGTCGGTTTTTCTTGACGTTTTGAAGGGAAAAACTTCCTGCTTAGTAAAATGCTTAGTCATGCTATAGTATATTAATTTATATAAAAAAGAGGAACAAATCCAACGGCCAACGTGAAAGTCGGCCAGTGATAGACGGCGATGAAGAGCTAGCCAGGTCGGTAACAGCTTATACTACGTAAGTATGTGTTCTGGAGACCGGCTGGGATGAGCAAAACATCCCTACTGGGCTTCGTATATGCCATGTGAAGTGCCGTGATGGCTGGCTGTGATTGAAATCGCTACGTTTCCTCCTTATGGCATGGTTCACTGGCTGGACAAGGAGGGGAATATGTTATGGAAAAATATATGAGGGTACGAGATACCGCCGTTGCTGAACGTTCCAACTGTTTTTTTTTTTTTTTTTTTACCAGGCCCTGTTCTCGTGGCGCTTCGACTTTCCAGCCTATCCCGGTCCGCTCAGCCTTATAGCTAAATAACAATATTTACCAAATATGTCATCGTGAGGCGGATATAGCGTTTTGATGGCCTGGGCTTATCCAACGGAACACATGTTGTGGCACGGTATGAATATGTGCGTGGTGCTATCCGTTCAGAGCTCTTCCTGGCGTCAGCATTGCAGCATTCGAGAATATGTGTGGCCGGTGCCATCTCTGATTCATATGGAGCTGTCGAGCAAAGCACGCGAGTTCGGGCATTGAGAACATACATGTCTCCCACATGTTTCCCAAATGAGCAACTCAGTCCGTAAAGGGCACGGCCAGACGAGCGATGGAGCTATCGAAACCTATAGTGGCACCCAACTAGCAGGATTGACGCCCTTCACCCGTAATCTGGTCAATGGTTCCGTTATTCCGATCTTTAGCTACTTAGCCCACCTTGGTGTCTCTCGATCCACCTTGTCCCAAAGATACGGCTATCAACAGGCCAATAATTGTCCGGCAAGATAGTTACTGATTTCTGGAGACTTGGGGTTGCCCTCTTGTAATACGGTGGCATTGACATGCTACGGAGTTTATTCCGAGACCAAGCCGTGTATCATCTTCATAGCCTGTTAAGTTGACTCTCTCTCTACTTGTCTACCAAATAGTATTATCCAGTCTTCAATCTGGCCTTCGTCTTTGTCTTCGTCTTAATATCAAACATGATCAAATGCTGTCATGTGACTCGGCCTGCCAGAAACTTCTTTCTCTTTTTCTTGCTAGAGAGAAAAAAAGGACCAGAAAAAAGAGAGAGAAACAACAAACGCTTCATCAGTGGTAAAAGTTGGCTGATGAATATCTATAACACTTGACATCATGGAATAGTGCAGGCTGGAACCAGAACTCCAGAACTACGCAGAATCCACCGGCAAGTTACCCGCATGCGCGTCTCCCTTCAACCTCGGCAGATGATCTATAAACGCGTGCAGATAATCGCCATCGTGATTCACCCTTAAAAAGACAACTTCTTGCGGCGGTTCTCCATACACATATATACAAGACTCCACGGAGCTCCCGTTGGCTTGAGAGGAAGCGTGGAACAGCCAGCCATCGAAACTATCTGCCACTGGCCCGTCTTTTCCACACGTCCTACCTCCGCTGGATGCTCCAGCAATGTGCCAAGTTGAACCTCCCAAAGCTTAAGCCATGACTTTCAGCCGCTTCTTCCCAGGTTCTGCAGACAGTGATAGAGGACAAGACGCAGAGATGCAGGCTCCTCGAGATGGGACCGCCGTTCTGCCAGTCGGGGTGAACGCCACGTTGACTCTGGCTGCAGAATCTCTCGTCGTCCAAGGTAAGGATGACCCTGGTTCTGCCAACCCTTCCTCTCTGCCATATATCGCCATATATCTTGAATTTATCAGTTTAATAACATGATGCCGTGGCCCCTTTGTCTGTTGAAGACGATGGCCATAATAATAAATCTAGTCGAAGCTGCTGCGGCGTGATATCTACTCCACGTATGAACTGATTCCTCTCTCGTTCCGTTCACGACCAGAGGCATGGCAAACGGATAATTCCTGACATCCCTATCCCTTCTAGGCGTTGCACGAACTACACGATCTATTCCTTACTTCAATATCCTCTGGGCTGACATATCGGATAACCATCTCAATATCAAGTACGCCAACCCTCGAAATAAACATGACGTCGGCCTTGCAACGATCTGCTACAGTGTCGAACGCACACAGCTTTCGAAGGCGGAGACATGGGTGTCAACATTACTGGATTTATCATATGGAGAGGCACAGAAGAAAAAGCGGATAAAGGTGCTGGTAAACCCGTTTGGCGGGAAAGGGAACGCATCCAAGATATACAACAAGGAAGTCGAACCGATATTCGAAGCAGCCAAGTGTGTAATCGACACACAGAAAACGGAATACTCTGGCCATGCCGTTGACATTGCCGAGAAACTCGATGTAGACGCATGGGATGTCATTGCCGCCTGTTCCGGTGACGGCGTAATCTTCGAAATATTCAACGGCCTGGGCAAGAAGGAGAACGCAGGCGAAGCCCTTGCGAAACTGGCCGTTGCCCACATTCCCTGCGGCTCTGGCAATGCGATGAGCCGGAATCTCAACGGCACAGCAGGGCCTAGCATGGCTGCGCTTTGCATCATCAAAGGCTTGCGCACTCCCCTTGACCTTGTGTCGATCAGCCACGGACAACGACGAACCCTCTCTTTCCTCTCTCAGGCCTTTGGCATCATTGCAGACTCAGATTTGGGTACAGACAACCTTAGGTGGATGGGGCCTGCTCGTTTCACATTCGGCTTCTTAGTAAGGTTGTTCGGTAACACGGTATATCCATGCGATGTGGCGCTCAAGGTTGAGATTGACGACAAGAAACACATCAAAGAACACTACAATGCCATTGTGCAGAATAAGTCCAACACAGAACCCCGCGAAGAGGTACCGGCATCGGGCGGCCTTCCGCCTCTCAAATATGGCCTCGCAACAGACCCTATCCCAGACGATTGGATGAGAATTTCGCATGATAAACTCGGCAATTTCTACTCTGGGAAGATGGCGTTCATGGCTCAAGATGCCAACTTCTTCCCCGCCTCGCTTCCAAACGATGGTTTCTTAGACGTCATCATGATCCGAGGTGATATCAGCCGATTAACTGCGATACAGATGCTGGGCGCACTGGATGACGGGGAGCTCTTCGACTTGCCCGACGTGCATGCACTAAAAATATCAGCATTCAGGATCACCCCCCGCAACCAGGAAGATGGCTACATCAGCATCGATGGGGAACAGATCCCCTACGAACCATTCCAGGCTGAGGTTCATAGGGGTCTCGGCACGGTGATCTCCCGGTCCGGCTACAAGTATGAAACCGGCAAGGGATCCTAAAGACGCATACGCAGTATCTCTTTTCCTCAACCGTTTTGGATTACCCACGTTGCACTTTTTTTTCCACATCATTACTGTTGTATTTATATACCTGTCCCTTGCCCTGGTCTTTTGGTTCGAGGGTCTTGTCCTGGCTTACCCTAAGCTCTTTTGTTTTGCATTTTCTTCTTAGACCTGGCGTTCTGGTTGGGGCTCGGATTGCCATGGCTGCATAAATATATATATATCCCCCTCAGCATTGAATATGCAATTATGGATATTCATATTCTCTCTAGTGCTTTCTCGGGTTTCCCCTGTACCACGAAGTAGCTGTAGCGGCCGTTGAATATTTTAAAATGAGTAAGTACTTTATTGTCCCTATAGTAACGGGATATTCCTTGATCATTTCCAGCCTTAAATTCATACCTAAGACCAACGGTTCCTACACGTATAATAAGCCGATCCCATACCACTGGATGAAAATATTCTCCAAGGCCAAAGCATCAACGTACTAGTTGACGAACGGTAGAAAGCATCTTCCGTATATACTCCATTCCGTAAATGCTTAAGATATCAACAGACGCGGTAGTATTATTTACACAAGCAAACAATTTCATACAACATGGATTAAAATAATATAAAATGAAACACTAGATAGGGGAGTTCAACCCGCCAAAAAAAAGAATTGAAACTATTTACTCGGTGAAGAAATAAGGCCAGGAAAGGGATTTAATTTACTACGCCGTTCTCAAGACAGGTATATGGGAGGGATGAATGAGGTTGAAGAAACGGTAAGGCAAGGGATGCTTGTTTGGTGGGAGGAAAATGCGGAGTCAGGAGTCAGACGCAGGGGCGGACCGGACGAAGGGATATAGGAAGACAGGCAGACTGATGCGTACAATGTAGAATGTAGGAAAGGGTGGATGGGTGAGGAAGAAGCCATGGCGATGCGTATACTCCATAAAATAAATAAAACAAGGACAAGGACAATCAATTTGAAAGATGATGACGTGAGGCATTAACTTGATGCTTGAATTAGAGTAGAACAACAGTATTAAGACCATTAGAGGCGATATGGGAGGACAGCGCAGGAGATTAGACACAATTAACATATAAAGTCACAGGGGTTAGGTAGGAAAAGAAGGGAGGGAGCAAGTGAGAAGCAAAAGAGAGGGCCACCGATGGTTGAGATATATTCTCATATTATTGAACAGGGTAGGGAAGAGGGAGGGAAAGGGAAAGAAAAGGGGCATAGCCGTAAGTGTGTGATGTATAGATAGTCAAATGGGAGCGAGCGTTATAGCCTGAGGTTATCTAGGATTTTCTTTGCCATTTCCCGATACTGCCACATACCGCCGGATACTTTCTTGAATTGGATACCGTGTAGCGAGAAGAGAGGTACTTTGACGATGACGATCTCAAAGCGCAGGATGAGGTTTGCGCCGGTATCAGTTTGGACCTTTGTAGTTGTTTCGCCTACCACGCGCTCTCCGCCGGCAGTGCTGTCCCGAGGAGCAACATATTCATCTGACCCCTCAGAATTGGTGATGAAGCTTTGATCAGGGGCACGCTGGCTACGGCGTGACGCCTTGGTCGAAGGGGACGCTTTGTGATCTTGCGTTTCTTCGGCGGTTGCATGCGCCCGGAGACCAGCAAAGCTGATTCGGCGACGATGGCCTGAAACTGGGCCTTGTCTCTCTGGGCTTGGAGGGTTGGCGTCAACGACACGGTTGAGGTCAATGCTTGGGGCGTGACGGCAGCTGAAACCACCTTTTATTTCAACGTATTCGACCCCCAGCTGTTTGAGAACACGGATGATATCGGAGCGGATGAACTGAAGGGGTTTGCTGCTGGTGGTAGATACGCTGAATAGGCCCTTGAGATAGACGGGCTTTGAAAGGTCTTCGCCCGTGCCTGACACGGCGTTTGGGCCTTCAAGGACCTCATTGTCAGTCTCCTCGGGTACCTGGGCTTCCTTTGCTTCCTCACGGCGAGCGCGGCGGGCTTGGATGCTCTCGTGTCTCGCATGGCCTAGTGATTTGGTCCTAGCTTGAGGAGGATAGGTGTTCTTAAGCTCGGTGGCCTGTTCACTGGGTTTGGTGGTCCGTTGGACGTGTAGATTAGATTGGTCTGACTTGCTTGCCAAACCTGGCTCGTTGGGCGCCGATGAGAGATAGCCTGAGGGGCCTCTCCTATTGCTTCTTCGGATACGATTTTCTCCCGAGTTCACACTTGTTGACCTGGCGAGGAAATTGTTGACGCGGGAAGGCGACAGTCCGGAATTTGATCCATGAGGGATATCAGGGTACTGGGAATGACTTCCACTAGGGTGCAGATTTCCAGGAGCTGCCTCCCCACGCCTGGTCCTTCGTACACTGAAGCTCTTTCTCGGTGCGAGAAGGTCTTCGGCAAAGTGTGCATGTGCAGCCATAGGTTGTTGGTGCCTTTCTCTCTCCGTCTCGCGGCCCCTATCTCGGGTCCTTCTGGTGCTGAAACGCCTCAATAAGCCAGCTGCTGCACTCTCCTTCTTTGGCGGAGCAGTGTCAGCGGGTGGAGTTACGATGGTTGGTGACACTGTCTGCTGCGCAGGCGGCTTCGCCACGGTCAAGTTCTTGACTCCTTCGGTCAGGTCATCATCTCCGCGTGTCCTAGCCCGTGGACGAGACCTTCCTCCTGTTTCTTTCTCCCCAGGGACTTCGAAGGCATTTTGATTAGTATACGCAGCTTCAGGCATGGGGAGATCTGGCTGTCTCAGTGCAACGTCAGCCGGGCCAGGAAGACCGGCCGGGTGCAGTTGAGGGTTTTCTCGATCTTGCTTTTCCTTGACAAGATTGTAAACTGAGATGAGTGGGTGGAACCCGCAGGCAGGGTCACCAAAAGAGTGCATGGCCTCAAACGAAGGGGTCATGGTCAGGTTGTCTTTGCTCATGGAGTTACGGCGCTTATAGAAATCGAAAACACCTCGTCGCTTCTCACTTGAAGCATTAAGGCTATGTTGTTGCTGTTCCTTCGCGCTACTTCGGACGGCGAGTTGATACTCATCAGATTCAACGATCTTGGTGAGCTGCGAAGTGATGAATTCCGGGGGACCAAAGTCGAAGCCGGTCATCTTCTGAACGACTTCCTGATCCAGGGGTAGCTTCATCGGCTCACGTTGAGGGAGATAGTTTTCTGGCACTCCGCTGTATCCCTTGGTCATCCAAGGGTGTTGCATGATTTCAGCTAAACAGGCTCGTTGCTTTGGGTCGGTGACCAGCATTCGGGAGATGATGTTACGGCAGTCTGTTGGAACTGGTAAGTAAACGATGAGTGTGTTATAGTAGAGATAAGAACTGACCAGAAGAGAGACCAGGCGGATACTCGACGACACCCTTCTTGATCTTTGCGTGGAGCTGAGGCATGCTCTGGTCATCAAACGGAACCTTGCCGCAGACGAGGACGTAGAGCACGATACCGAAACTCCAGACGTCGACTTCCGGCCCGGTGTACTGGCGAGCCTGCAGCAATTCGGGAGCGGCAAAGTAGAGACTGCCACAAAAGGTCTTTAGCTGCCCCTTGGGAGAGAAGAGATTGCTGAGACCAAAGTCGATTATTTTGATATCACCCGTCTTGCTGATGAGGATGTTCTCTATTTTGAGATCCCTGTGAACGATGTTGTTTCGGTGGCAGTAGTCCAGTGCGCTTGCGATCTGACGGGCAAACTTGCGTGCTTGCTTTTCCTTTAGCTTGCCATGGGATATTATGTAGTCGAGCATCTGGCCGCCGTTGACATACTCAAAGAGCATGTACCAGTGATAGTTGGTGCGAACGACATCCCGCATGCCACAGACGTACGGATGATTCAAGAGGGTGACAATGGCAGCCTCCCTTGCGGTCCGTATCTCCTTAGAACGGTCCGCCCTTTCATTCTCTCGGCTACTCCGTTGCTCGTCATTGGTGTGACGAGGGATAATTTTCACCGCAACCTAATCAATTAGAATCGATACAAATAAAGAAGAAGAAGAAAAAAGTAATGGAGGGCACACCTGTTCACCGGTTTCGAGGTTCTTTGCGAGCTTGACTTTGCCCATGCTTCCAGCGCCGATTGTCTTGCCAAGTGCCCACTGTCCAGACGGCGTGGTGATCGTGGTGCGTCTCTTTGGCTGGGCAGCTAGGGAGGCACCATTGGAGGCATGATGGGCATTGGCAGGATGCGACGCGCCCTCGGGCGGGTTTGAGCGAGCCATGTCGACGACGTCGCCGTTCGTAGGCCTGGACGGGGTGCGACGATGGGTGCGAGCAGGGTCAGGCCGATACGACGCAGAGGCCTCTCGTGGCCGGTCCTTGGACGAGCTCCGGCCGGTGGTGCTGGGTCGAGAGGCTGTAGAAGGCTGAGGAGGGTCGTAGTCCCGTCGAGCATTGCTCGGGGTGCGTGTATGGCCACCACTGGGTTCCTGGGAATAGGACCTGGAGCCGGTCCGGCTGTGAGAAGACCTCTGATGCGGACGTCCACTGGCACTCTGCGTCCTGGACGGCGAGCTGGCGTCTCCTGGCGGGTTCCTGTAGGAGGTTGGACTGCGCACGGCGGTTGGCGTAGAGGGGGCCGCGGTGGACATGGCCGGCAGCAGGTTTTTCTTCTTCTTTCTTTTCAGTATGATCTCAGTCCAACCGTTATCACCGGCTGCTGTATCTTTCCCTGATGGAGCTCTCTTCCTTTCTTTTCTTCTTCTTCTTCGTCTTCGTCTTCTTTTAAATGAAGGGAGGGGGGAGGCAAAGAGAGGCTGGTAACTCGTAGGCTGGTGGTTTGAGGCGTGGCGGGCGGCCAGGTCAGGACGAGGCGGTTGACATCGAGAACAATCCCCGGGCGGGCGGGCAGCAAGAAGAGAGCGGAAGAAGAACGACTGAGAATGCGAGCCCGTCTCGTCTCAGGCTGTGCTGCGTCTTGCTGGCATCGACGTGGCGATGCTCGGTGGTTGTTGATTTGATGAAGTTGGTGAAGTTTCGACCTTTTTTTTTTTCTTGCTATGAAAATGTTTGTTTTTGTAACGCGGATTTTAAACCTGGCAAGCAAGCAGGAATAATATTTCTAATAAGACTTGCGTTCGTATAGATTTATTAACTGATGATAATAAGAAACGATTCAAGGTATGCAGAAGTACTTCTTTTTTATGAGGCGCTGCGGCGGTTTTATAAGTGTTTTTGCATAGTCTTTGTCTTTCCTTAACGTGACGGCGGCACATGAAGAGATCTTGCGACTGGCGACGGCGAGGTGGTATTCTACGGTTCAAGAAGAGACTCGACGGGGTGAGCGAGTGAGAGAGACGCAGGTGACGAGCCATGCTCGACTGCTAGACAGGTAAGTGGCTCGTTGGAGGGTTTCTCACGGCGCAAAGCTGACCGGATGGCAGGGCATATTCAATCGAGCATAAAGCCGGTATCAGCCACGACAGTATCACTCTGTTTGAAGTCTATAAGCCTCAGACGGTCGGCCTGATCGTTTTGTCCGCGAGACACACCCCAGGATGGCGTACAAGCGGTCCCGCGCCGCATATGAAGACGATCACCCCGGATCTCCCTTCGTCTTCTACGGCACCCCGTTGCCCCCAGACGACCCTGATGCGCGAGACGACGGTTCCTACGTGCCGCTGTGGAAGCAGGAAGTAAGGGACGAGAGGGGCCGGAAGCGTCTGCACGGCGCTTTCACCGGTGGGTTCAGCGCTGGGTGAGCTACCCCCCCCAATGGCGTCGACTTTATCCCTTTCGAAGCAGGAGAACTAAAGCGAGGATAGGTATTTCAACACGGTTGGGTCCAAGGAGGGATGGACGCCGTCGACGTTCGTCTCGTCTCGCAAGAACCGGGCCAAGGACAGCAAGGACAAGCAGCAGCAGCAGCGGCCAGAGGACTTTATGGACGAGGAGGACCTGAGGGAGGCAGAGGAGGCGAGGGTGCTTCAGACTTCTACCCAGTTCGATGGCATTGGGTCTACGGCTACGGATGCGATCAGGGATACAGGACTGGTCGATCTGTTCGGTTCTACAGGGGATACGGTTGGCGTCCGACTGCTGAAGCGGATGGGGTGGAAGGAAGGGCAGGGGATCGGGCCCAAAGTGAGAAGGAGGGCTAAGCTGGACGACCAGGATGGTGGAGATGATGATAACGGTCAAACATATCTCTTTGCGCCAGAGAATACGGCCTTGATATCGTTTGTGGACAAGCATGACCGCAAGGGTGTCGGCTACGAGGGGGAGCAGAGGCTGGACAGCAAGCCTGAACGCAATAATATGGCTCTATCTAAACCGTCTATACATGAGAAGAAGATGCCCAAGCGGCGGCTAGGCGGGTTTGGCGTTGGAGTGCTGAATGATACCGGGTCGGACGACGAGGACCCCTACGAGATCGGACCCAGCATCTCCTACAGCAGAGTCATCGAACCGTCAAAGAAGAGCTCCAAGGCCAAACGGGCGGACACGTCCAGGCCGGCAATCCGGTCGTCGAACCCGCTACTGGACAGCAAGCCCGTCTTCATCTCAAAGAAAGCTGCCGCCGGAAAGGAGAAGCCAAGCAGCTTCAGGAGGTGTCATGACGGACGACTGCCGCTGGACGGGTTCATCCTCAGCGTTCAGGCCGATCTCACTCCCCAGAACAAACGGTACGATCCCCCCAAGGTGCCGGAGGGCTGGGTGCCTGCAAAGACAGCTTCCTCCAACCCAGCAGCCAAGCAGATCTCGCTGGCCGAGGCTGCAAAGGCGTCGACGCTCGACCCCAAGGCCAGAGCTGCACTTCTGGGCGAGACTCAGCTGCCGGGCAAGTCAGTATTCGACTACATGACACCCGAAGCCCGTGAGAGGATCGCCCTCGCGACCGGACGGACCGACCTTCCACCCGCGCTGGGCGAAAAGGCGCCCAAGGGGTTCGAGGCATCAGACAGCCAGAAACGAAAGGATATCTGGGACCTGATCCCTCCGCTGGACAAGGAGGCTGCCCTGCAGGCCCTCAGCCGAGGAGCCAGCGGCTGGATGCCGTACGCAGAAGACGAGGGCAAACGCAGCCGCTACAGGTCGTTCCTCGAGGTTCGAGCCGGCATCGTGACCGATCGACTGCCAGACCGTCTCCCAGGCTCTTCGACAGACGAATGGATCACCGAACTGCGCGAGTTCGCCCGCGCTGCCGAAGTATTCAAGCCCATATCCGGCCTGATGGCCTCTCGTTTCACCTCCTCCACCACCACCACGGCCGGCAGCAGCAGCAGCAACTCTACCAACCCTCTGTTAACAAGGCCCGAAGCCAAACCGGAGGACCCAACAGAGTCAGCTGCTAAGCTTGGGATGTACGGCCCCATGACCCGTCTCCATCGACCGTTTGTGCCGGTCAGGCTGCTCTGCAAACGGTTCAACGTTCGGGTTCCTGCCAGCGCCAGACAGGACGGCTCTTCTTCCGCCGGTGGAGCAGGCCTGTTAGCTGATCTTGCAGGCCTCGAGAACCCTGCAGAGCCGCCACCAGAGCTTGTTTCCAAAGAAACGATGCATCAACTGATGATGGAATCAGGGCGGAAGATACACCCGCCCGGCTCGACCGTGCCGGCTGGGGAGCCGGAGACGCAGGCCGTGGAGCCGGCGGCGGTCAACCCAGATCGCAACGAGGCACTCGAAGGCGAGAGGCCCGGCGAGGCGGTGTTCAGAGCCATCTTTGGCAGCGATGACGAGGACGAGTGATGTCTTCTCCTATCGGGCATCTCTCGGTCGACGCTCGATGTGGCTGGCCCGTCTACGTGTGGCCATCCTATTGATAGATGCCCCTGAGGCCGCAGACCTAACCGAGCTGCCACCAGCAGAGTTGGAGTAGATATCTCCCTCGTCGATATACGTATACATAGCAGATGTATATATGTACATTAATAATACCCTGCAATACGGGGATGTCGACGCCCTTCGTCCGGGCTGCTCTGGCAAGGGTTGATACTTGATGGCTCGATACTTGATATCGCCCGTCTGGCGCCCTGGAACGTCGTCTCTATCACCCCGACGGCATCGAAAGATATAATCCAATAGTCAAAAGGGTCAAATCCTCGAGTTTCATCAACCCTTGCATGGTTTCTTCTTCCATCTCAACCAACCAGAATATCAACGACAAGCTTAGCTTAAAAAAAAAAAAAAAAAAGCGACCCAAAAAGCTATAAATAAATAATAAATAAATATCGACAAGCATATTTTATGTAAATAAAAATAGCTGCATCACTTTTTCCGGTCAAAAACTCCTCTTCTTCCCCAGGCCATCCCTGCGATCTCTTCTTGAACCCCCAGTTCGACTCATACAACCACACGATGAGCAATGGTGAGTTATAGAGACCGTTTCATCTTCTCTTCGCTTTCGTCTGGGCAGACGCAATACCGTTAAGAAAGCTGTCGTTTGTCGCATCTTGCTACGGGCTGTGGGGTAGTGTCCAGCATGTTCGCAGAGTCCTCCATAGCGCGCTGCTCTCTGGTGTATACAGACGATGACGCTGTTGGGCGATGACGGGCTAACATGTCGCTGTAGGGGTGCTGCTTCTCTCGAGACGCCGTCAGCTCGCCGTATCCAGGCTCTACGGCCGGTCAGCATGGTGACTCTTCTCACCAGATCAACGGCCACGATCACGGCCACGGCCAGGCTGAACCGCCGCTGCACCGCGCCCCTTCACCGTCTGGCGCATCGACGGCGACCTCTCGCCGCCCGTCACGCTCAGCTGCCAGGCGAGGCGCCATACCGCTGAACGAACACTTCAACCAGCCTATCCGCCAGCACGTCTGGAAGAGCAAACGCCGCATCTGGACCCGGGCGACGATAGATAGAGAACGACAGGTCTTTTTCGACACTCGAGTCGCCGGTCGACCAGAGATATGGGCTGCGCTGTCCACCGCCCTCTCCCTCCTGCGAGAAGGCGACGTTTCGACGGCCCAGGGCATCATCGACGCAGCGGGCATCACTGTGCCGACGGGGGATGTCTGCGAAGGGTGCTACGACGAGAGCGGAGCGCTGTACAAGTTTCCAGAAGCCATAGTCTCGGATCCTGTGAACCTGGCTGACGACGATGCTACCGAGGAGAGCTTCAAGTTCGATGCCGGCGCCGACTTGGATCCAGCGGACGATGAGACGTCTACGACCAAGCTGGTGATGGGCAGCAGCTCGTCTGACGACCTGCTGGACAAGGAAAAGGAACGAAGGCGCGAAGAGAAAGGGAAGTGGAACGAACGGGATTTGATCAAGGTCACCGCCCGGCTCAGTGATCGTGGTGGTCCAGATGTCGTCGTCAGCATCGGCAAGGAGCAGACCGTCGCTGCTCTCGCTCGAAGAATCCAGGTCGAAGCAGGAGTATGTTTTTCCATGGCCGCAAAGGTCGCTGCTGGCCACTGCTAACCTGTTCAATAGCTCCCTACCAGTACGCGGATCCAGATCGTATATCTGGGCAAGTTCTTCAGGGAGAGCCACACGCTGCTTGCCCAGGGCTGGAAAGAAGGCAACGTCGTCAACGCCTACGTTAGATATCCAAAGCAAAGGCCTTAAAAAAGGGTCTTCACAACCTGCTTCTGCCTCTGGACCGTTTCTCAATAATCAGTACCTCGAACGCGAGCCTTCACGCCCTGGCCGGGCCTACGCTCTACCACCAAACGCTATCACCTACCAACCTCTCACGACACACTAATAAATCGTTTCTTGACTTGCAACGGCGTTCACCGGAGTCTCCCCTCCCTTACCTGGAGTATTAGGAACCCTTTTACATCTTTTTCGATTCTCTGCAAGCCCTGGCGTCCTAGGAGTCGCCTTTTCACTGCTCTTCTTTTGGTATATAGCTGGCCCCTTGCTTTTGTCCATCTATCTGTATATACGTTACTACTCCTTCTTTAATCGACTACATGAATCATTATTTACCTACCATATCCACTGCTGAATATAAATTGATTAGCTAGGTATATATCTATAGCTTTTCAGCATCAAACGTATATTTTGTACTCGATGCAAACAAGACAAACAAGAAAAGTCGCTGCAAAATAAAAAAATACTCAAAGATTCAAAGATTCAATTCTAGCGAACTTTTCGCATAGAGCAAACCACGACCGGAAATGCTTCTAGAGAGCTTCATCTATTTCTACAATTGATCTAGAAGCAAACTATTTCGCTTACGCAATACACCACAGTTACAATTGAGTGTGACGACCCCGCCACCATGGATCTACAGCAGTCCCCATTCATACGGGAGCTGGCTTCAAGTGGTAAGTGTCTTCGGTGCTATATATTCTTTTATCGAGCTCTCGCTGACTCTATGTTGAAGAAAAGAAAACCCGGGATAAAGCAGTGGAATCGCTAACGGCCTTTCTAAGGAGTAGGCGGGACTTGAAACTCTTGGATCTCTTGAAAATATGGAAAGGATTATTTTACTGTACGTATCGGTTCGCTTGCTATCATATACACATGTTAACAGTCCAATCCAGGCTTCTACCACTCCGATAAACCTCTCATACAACAAGCCCTCGCCCGTTCTCTCTCATATACTCTAGTCCCCTCCCTACCAGAGCAGATGGTCTTGCCGTTCCTCCGGGCATTTTGGATAACAATGTCACGCGACTTTCACTCTCTGGACCGACTACGTTTGGATAAATATCTATTCCTAATAAGATGTTATGTCGGCGTTTCATTCGAATACTACCTTAAGCGGGGAGGCAAAAGCAAACGCCAGCCAGGAACAGGAAGCAGCGAGAATCAGAAAATAAAGAATAAAAGGAAGAGAGATGATGTGGATAGTGAAAAGAACGACGGTTCAAACTCCAGGCGCAAGACATCTAGTACAACGGCGGTACAGGTACAGCAGGAGAGTGAATGGCCTGAACTAGAAGCTTACCTCGACATGCTTGAAGACGGCCCGCTAAGCCCACTGATCTTTGACTCCGGACCATCTAGGGAAGACTCTGGCCACGGCAAGGACGAGAACGGGGCGTCGATTAAGATGCCAAAGGGCCCTGATGGAATACGCTACCATCTCATGGATATCTGGCTAGATGAACTGGAGAAATGCGCCACCAAGCCCGACGAGTCTAGTGCCGGCGACGATGAGGAACCAGCCGCTACGAAGCTAAAGGAGGGCGTTCCGATGGAGTTGCTATTACGGCCAATTGAGAGGCTGGAGTCGAAAAGTCCGAATAAAACAGTTAGAACTAGGGCGAAGGAAACCCTTGCTGATGAAAGGTTGATTTCATGGGGTGTAAGGGAGCCAGAGAAGCCCGAAGATGGCTCGGATGATGAGGAAGAATGGGGTGGTATCCAAGATTGAACTTGAAATCTACAGCAGGTATATGGCTTTAGGTGGTGTGATGGTCCATGGCATCAACCTATTCAGGAACTCATATCAAGAGTTAAAAGGGGGATATACTTATTCTTACCTAAAACTGTAAGCTATGAATAGTCCGCAGCCGTAGATTCACAAAGGAACCAATTCTCGCTGTCTTGTTGACCAAGGACTTAGCTCCATAACTATGGTCCAATTGTCCAGGATGATTACTAGCATAATACTCAGTCTGCTGTTTTGATATAGCTAAGTCTTTGTTTCATTCTTATACATAGTGTTACTTTGAAGTTTGCCAACATTTGACTGAGACTCTCAAATAGCTACATTGAAGTGAAGTATTGATCTATAACTATTTGATCCGCATTAACTGTCCAACGTTTCCCCTAAGACCTTTTCGTCCCTTTGGTAAACATTGCTCTACCTTTCAAAGTCAGAAACCACTTGAGCGTGTGGCTTTGATCAATTCATAGCCTCAACCTTTAGATATTCGCCAATACAAGATACATCTATGGGTGAACATCCCACACCCCATACTTGCAAGCTCTCTACTATTTATTCAATCCTAATATCTATCCAGGTAACTTTATCATTTCTAAGGATGGCAATGGAACCGTTGCCGATTTTGCGAAAGTGAGCTTTTCTTCCGTCCTGTTTCGCCAAATTTGCGATGGTCTCGTTAATGAGCCACAAGTATAATATGCTGCCATGGATCGATATTCCTAGTACGGAGGGAATTGATAAAATAAAAGCATTATACACTATCTCTAATCCCATGATTATTAGTGTAGGATCCTTTGTGGTTGCTGGTGAGTGAATACCAGGCTATGAAGGTTTCAACCCCAAAGTGATGCTTAATATCTAGCCCTTCTGTTGCCATTTACCTGATACCTTCCGATAGATCTGCTATTAAATATAGATCAAACACAATTTTAACTTCATTGTATATATAATTCAAGATATAAAGACGTAATATTGTACTAGAGCGTTTTACTATGAGGTGCTCAAAGGGCTGCGTAACTCCATGTTCAAAGCTTGGAACTACTCCTTATCTTTGATATCAGTATCATCTTCCATTGCCCTCATCTGCAGCTCGTGTCGAGCGTATCATCGCTGCTCGTAAACTAGCAGCCAGCGCAAGGTCATTTTCAGGGGCGGGTGCTGGCAAGTCGAATGTTTTCCCCATGATAAATTCATTGGGTAGTTCGAGGCCGGAAATATCCCTCCCAAGAGAGACTGCAAGGTATGGCCCCATTGATGCCCATAGAATCTTGCGGCTTTCGATATTTTCTACCCATTGAGTGTCACCTCTCTTCTTTGCGTATAGGGATGTGATCGCGAAATGGAAGGACAAATATCTGTCAAATATAACCAGTCTCTCTGCCGCCAATTGGTGCGGGCTCGCCCTTTTGGCCGAATGGCAGATTCTGACAATACCTCTTAGCGGGGCGATTGTCGGTAAGGAATGTAAGCTCTTTGCCGCCCAGTTCCTATTCGAGTCATTAGGTACTGGAGTAAAAACCATCTTCAGAATATTTGAAGGTGATGATAGATCTTACCTTCCATTTGTAAGACTCACCCATAAACGTCGTCCAACTCTGCTCTCTTAACGCCTAGTTAACGAGAATGCATTTCCATCTCGTTAGCTCCACTTCATCTGTAGGAAATACCAGGATAATAGCAATAGTGCCATTATCTAGTCCTTGCTCAAGGGTCCTCCAAAGGGTGATGCCTATAAATAATTAGCTCAATACTATATTAAATGCTGCACTTTACTTACCATTCCTTGGGTCCTCTAGAAAAACTTCCCCTACTCCAAAGAGGTGCTTTAGTTCATCACCTCTCGGGGTTTTTGGAACTAGATTGGCTGCTCTAACATATTTGGCCGTGTACCATGCGCCAGTGAGATGACACCAAACTACCGTTTCCCCGTTAGATTCCATTTTTGCTTCCAGATAGTTGATAACGTTCGTTCTAACTTCTTCCTAGTCAAGATCTGTGGTTATCTCTAAGAGAGGAAGTTCCAATAGCTCGTGTAGCTATAGTAGCTACACACCCCCTCTCCATGAAGTCGGCGTTTGACTCATGTTTATATATCTGTCCATTAGTTTAAGCCCGAGCTCTTCTTCAATATGAGCTACTGTTCTACTCTGTCTCTTTATAGTCTGTAGCTCTTGAAAGACCGGTATATATTGCTGGTCAAGAGTTGTAGGCTCGGTGTAATACTCTTCCTCTGCGAGGTCCTTCCAGCTTAGAGCGTGGCGGAGGCCCTTCTGGTATTCTTCATAGTAGTCAAGCCCCGCCATTAGTACTTCAAGACTTCTGTTTAAGAAACTCTGAAACTGAACATCCACGGGGCAACTGTGATATATTTAATACAGTGCTAATAACTCCAGAGTATTTTTCTCTAGTTTCTCCGGGTAAATATGGAGAATGTTTGTGTCGCAGAGGAAGGTTAGAAGTGATACCCAGTGGTATTTTTGGTAGCTCCATGGTAACCGAGTGACTGGAATATATAGAAGAATTCACTAGTACTAGTGAAAGGCGCTCCATTACTCCGTAGAGAGTGAATCGGAAAATTGTTGGATGTGAGAGACTTGGAAGATATTTCTATATATATATCAAGGCCATGAGTCAAGGTAAATGTGTCATACTAAGAATGATCCTAAAGGAGGCATTCTTCTTGAGCAATAGGCCCATGGTTCAGACATGATTATAGACCCCCAGCCCCCTTTCATAGAGTGAGATTAGTTACACTGGTATTATGATGGTGCGACATCGTGTATATACTGTTCCATTATGAAGAAGGCTGGAGAGAGCTTACTACGGTCAGACAGAGTTGTATTGCTTCTTGAAGATTGCGCCCAACTGTAATGGCAGGTATAGATGATGCAGCATATGCCACTCGACCAAAGATGGAGCCGTGGGCAAGGCAGATGCTCTGTTGCATGGCACCAACCTAAATAAGGGGACACGCTGCTGCGTTCTCATAAGTACTTTTGGCTTCAGCTCAAAGAATCCACTGTTACTGTGTATGACATTTCGTCAAGTGGTATATGTGATATTATTGGCTGTTGCACTCGACCTTTGGTAATATAGACTGACACTGCCCGAATGATCCTTTGGTATATCACGTGACTTAAATAATACTAAGTCTTGGCAGAACGCTAGCGTTGTGTATATAAACCCAAGGCTCCCCTCTCTTTTCCGCCTTTTTCGTCTTCTTCTTGCGATAAAAGTATCTCCAAAGGCTCAAATATCCATTTGCCCATTATCAAATAACGAGAGCTGGGGCTGAAATTCAACCTGTTACCCGTGCGACAACAGATGACATGGCCTATAAGATACCCATATACGAGAACAGAGCTAAAGGACAATAAATAGTGCTTGGTGTCCATATAGGAGAGATGCTGCCCTAGTTGGTACGTGATATTAGGAAGATCTTGGGGATGAACTTTTCGAGCTGAATATTATTCTTGTTGAGAAAGGAAACACCAATGTCATAACAGTTAAGTTAAGGTGATGGCTAACTGGATGGTATTACCGCCCTGAGGCTCAATATCTCAAAAGAACTGAGAGACATTAATACATAAACGTATTATTAATCAATCAACGATTTCGTTGCCTCGAGTTTAATCACGTGACATGATTATAGCGCGAGGTAACCGCGGAAAACTCGACCTATGAGGGAAGATGTTGGGACAGGAGAAGACAGGTGTTTGGGAGGCGCTCGCTATCCTTAGCTCGTATCGCCAAGACGTCTGTTCGACCGATAGGCCGCATTCGGCACTCTCACACAGATATATATATAGATCGTTTATGTCCGCTAGACCTGACTTCTATTATTATTATTCAATCTAAACCTATATATCGGTCATTTCTGTGTTTATTCGGTCTCTGAGGTTTCCTTTTGCTGCTCCGCTGTGCTCTGTTCAGGCTTCAAGTGACGCTGATAGTCTCCAAGAGTTGTAGATAGTGATTACTAATTACTCTTTCAGACCTTTCCAACTCTTCGAATAATCTTGGTCTTTTCGAGCTTCGTATTCATTACTATTAGGCAACGTAAAAGCGGATAATTTTTCGAACTTCGAACGACTACGAGCCTAAGAAACATGCGATCGCTTATATAAATTGCTATATTTATTTATCAGATCGTCGTCGGCGTTGATACAGTAGGAAAAAAATAAAAATTATATAGCAATTTAACAATAATATAATATTTTTCGATTTTTATTAAAATATAATTATATCTAGAGTATATACTATATTATAAAGATTTATTTCAGTTGTTATACTTATTATATTTTTTATATTACCAAAATAGGTTAGAGCATTTGGAGATTAGTAAGCAGGGCTATATAAGTCACACTGAAGCGAATCAAGCGAAGGTTTTATTTTTGCTTTACTACAAACTATTTCTACTCTAGTACTTTTTAATTCCTTCAACCTTTAACGAATAAAAATTACTTTTTTATTTCTCTTCTTCTAAGAAGTATAAAGTAAGTTAAAACTTATTATTTCTAGCTTTCTTATATTTTATATATAAATTATAAACTAATAAATTTTAGTAATAATCCTCTTTTAGAAGTCTTAAGGGTCTCTTAAGTCTGTACTATTCTTTCGAAGTTGAATAAAGACCCTAGAGCTATAGAGAGTACAGACCTGTGTTAGGCAAGGCCTATATTACTCTTGTTCAATACTGAAGGGCTGCTTGTTAAACGTCAGAGAATGGTTATTGACTTAACTCAGGACTCCGAGTCGGAGCGCGATGCCTCTTCAGTATGCCTTCCGGGATAATCCTCAAATACCCTCTTACGATATCTTATTGCTCAGAAATATACGATGGGCAGTAAGAATATTGTAGAGACTCGATATTGTGTTGTTGTTTGACGCTGTTTCTAATCTTTTGATTTAATCGGTTGTTTTTTATTTTATTTTATTGCAACGGTTCGTGACGCGCTAACCGCTTTGGGAACTACGTATAGAGTCCTGAAGTTCTGTCTAACCAACTCTTGAATGTTTTTATGAGACCCAAATCAACTGCTCCGTCTCTTACTCGATCACAGCATATTACTAGCGGGTCAACTTCGAGCTCTCGTCCTGGGTCAAAATCTTCGAATATCTCAGTGCTAATTACCTTACAAAAGCCACCAAGTTCAAATGCCAACCGCAAGAGATCACTATCAACCACTGATGATGTTAACACAAACCCATCACACAGGCTGGCAGAACATCATGGGTTGAGCTACTTCTACTCTGTTGATAACCCGGCGGAGCTAAAGAGACCGTACAACAAATTTAAGCAGTATGACCGAAAAGCTGAGATTCCCCGGCCAACCAAGCGCTATATACCGCCAAAGAGACAAGCAGATGGAAAGCCTGTGTCTGACCGTCTTGAGGCCCTGTATAAGCAAAAGCTTTCTCGGATCCAAGGCCCTCCTATTCACTTTGTGGCCCGCAACATGGCACACAGGGTCGATTTTAACTTTGACTTTATCGATTCATACAAATTGCATGATGGAGTAGAAGTGCTTGGTCCCGAATTCCTATGCGGATGCGGTTGTACCGAATGCGGCCGTGACTGCAGCTGTCTGTTTCTGGAAAGTGACTCTAATAAGCTGATTAACCCGTACCAGGATGGCCAACATGGTAGCAGGGTTCTGACGCCTGAATTCATCAAGAAGAGAGCAGCCGTGATCCAGGAGTGTTCCTCTCGGTGCAACTGCTCTGGTTCAAATTGCTTGAACCACGTGGTTTATCGTGGTCGTCAAGTAGAACTGGAGATATTTCAGACGAATAACCGTGGGTTTGGGATACGGTCCCCCAACCCGATTGAAAGGGGCCAATTCATCGACATCTACGTGGGGGAAGTGATTGTCAAGACCACCAGTAATGCTCGGGAGGAAGCCTTTGATACAAGGAAACACTCCAGCTACCTCTTCTCTCTTGATTTTTATGAGGGTTATGAGGGAGTGGATGCCAACTATGTCGTTGACGGACGCAAGTTTGGATCCATCACAAGATTCATGAACCATTCGTGTAATCCGACCTGCAAGATGTTTGCCGCGACCCAGACAAACGACATGAAAGTGTATCAGCTCGCGTTCTTTGCCGTCCGCGACATCCCAGCGGGCACTGAGCTAACCTTCGACTACCACCCTCGATGGAAGAAGAAGAACCAAAAGATCGACCCTAGTGCTACCAAGTGTCTCTGCGGGGAATCTAACTGCCGTGGCCAGCTGTGGCCGACGAAACGCAAAACAACGAGGGCCGGGGGTGATGAATCTTCCTCTGACGAAGAGTCTTCTGAAGAGGGTTCGTCTAATGATGATGAAGAGTGACGCTATCTCTTGCCGTTAAATTCTTCTGGACTTGGATATAGGTGTCGGCGTTAGAAATACCCTCCGCCTTTAATTTTGGCTTGTCTCTCTGTTTTTCTAGCCCGTGTCTTTTCTTGTTAGCATCGAAATACCCTGCTGTTTGCATTACTCTATCTGCGATATCATTGCTTGGGTGTTTATGTGTCTATACTTCTTTTCTTCTTTTGTACGGCATGTAGAGCGGGAAACATAATCAAATAGGGTCATCTTCTTTCGATAAGTACTTCTGCATTAATGCGTGTTTGTCTGCTGGCGTATCTAGAAAATAATCACAGGCCAAAAGAGATAAACAATGAAGAAAGGGGGCAGAGAGTATAGAATGCTCCACAACACGTACACTTGGGTAGGAAATGTTATACCTATGAATATCTGGTATCATACAACGTTTCAAAAGGATAAATTAAAAATAAGGACAGAAGAACATGATAAAAGAAAAGAACAGAGGAAAAGCTGCCATTACCAACTCGAAGCTGTGATGACCTTTATTTCTGGGGTATTATCAAGGCCATCCTCTTTTTCGGTGGTAGGCTCTAAACGCAATAAAAGCGTTTTATCAATAGCACTGCATTGTACAGCGGCGTGGGATAAGAGACGAAAAAGGGGGATTCATTATATCGAGATTAAGCTGCGCCCTCCATGACCTCGACGATTCCTCCCATGACGAACCGCGGGGACTGGCGAGCTGAAGTTTGTGATAGCATGGAAGGCTCTCTTAGGTCGAGGCTGAACCTCGACAGGTTATTCGAGTCGTTATGGGCGTCCGACATGAATGGCATGGGGTCTACCGGGCGTGGTTCCAACAGGCCGAGTCCACGTCTCTCAACAGAGTCCTCACTGCACCTATAACGCTCCTCGGTGAGGGCCAGGTCGACAGTGGACGGACGACGGCGTAGTAGGATCGTCCCCAGGCCGAGGGAGGATGACGAGCAGCACTTCTTGCTTCGGCTGCCGATTCGACGGAGCGAGGATGTGAATCTGTTCTGGCGTGGAGAGGCACTGATGGGGCTTGAAGTGGGAGAAGATGCTGGACTGGAGGTTGCTGAGGTCAACGGCGACGGACGGTCAGAGTCAACCTCGCTGTCGACGGTCGACTTGGGCGAGAATGGAATGGTCAACGACGGCATCATCTCCGTCCATGGCGAGGGCAGCAGCTGGCCCGGATTGCGTCTCTGTTCGTCCATCTTGAACTCGCTGGTTTCAATGGCCTCGAAAAGGCTGATCAGGTCGTGCACAGCAGGTTTAGATGCCATCAATGTGTACACTCAATGGCCTTTGAGTACGCCCCCTTTCTTCGTTCGTATTGGCCCCCCGTCTCTCTTCCGGCGTATAGTATATTGGTCTTGGAGTATTCAATGTCTTGTTAAATAGGTAGAGGCGCTGCCTTGTCTTTTTGTTTCGGGCCTGCCCAGGATATTCGACCAAAAGTCAAGAGATGCACACGGAGGTTATACTGAAGGCACTGGGCACTTGATATATAGAACAGCAGCAGCTCGAACGATAACACCCCGTCGGCGCAAGGAAGAGCCAGGACTGACCGTCTGTGTCTGTATGACGGATCGACCGTGGGAGAGAAACAGAGAGACGAGACGGAAAGGTCGAAAGGGCAGAGCAAGCAACTCCTGCAACTCCTCGCAACCTCAGCGTCCCGGCGAGAGAGAAGGAGAAGCCCTATCGAAGGGAGACCGCAAGGGACGAGCAAGCCGAATAATTATTATTTTTATCTATATTTCCTGGTTGAGTGAAAAAGCAAAAAAGGCACAAAAACGTCGACTTTCTGGTCGAACCAGTTTTGATCGCTAACCAGAGGAAACAGAGAAACACTTTTATTATTCCCCCAGGGAAGAAGACGAAGAAGAAGCAGACATCGAACCTTTTGCAGGGGAGGGAAGAATAAGAATTACGATGCAAGAAGAACGACGATGAAACGAGCGGCGCGTTGATCAATGATACTTGCGGGTGGAGCTATTCATCTCTTCTTCTCTCGACATCCATCCATTTTATATACTTCAACGGCTCTATTACGGGGGCTGTCCACCGTATCCAAACGGCCTTCTTCTTCTTCTTCTCCTTCTCTTGGTCAATCCCTTTTGTCCTGCCTGCTACGTCGACCTTTTTCGTGCAGGTAAGACATTCGTCTGCACAGAAAAACAAGGACTCCCGCCCTGGTACAAGAAACCCCGGTTTAGTTTCAATTCCAACCCTCGATCCATGTGGGATTTCTTCTCCTGGGCGGAATACTCTGCCATTGGATGGGTTTCGCATTTCCTTGGTCGTTTATTGGCCGCGGCTGTGCGACTATTTGTCTGGGATATACTTAGTATATATCTATATCACCCAGCTCATATACATGGCAGCAAGCTTCTCTCTATCTCTCGCGGAGACAAGACCCCCTTTTTTTTTTCGTTTCGTTTATACACTTAAAAATGACTTGTCTCCAGCTCAGCCACTTTCCCCAGCGAGAGAGACAGACCTGCAGCCGACTAGTTCGGAATCTGGCCCAGTCTGATGGGGTTGTCTTGAGAGGGAGTCAAGACCTGTTGAACCGCGGTTTGAAAGCTCCTGAGCTGTTGATCTTCGCTAGATCATCTTGCCTGTGCGAGTTGGATGTTGGATTATTTATTAGGAATTATCGGTGGTTAGGTTATATATACATACAGTGTTTAAACGGGACGCTGCACTTGTATACAGGAGTCTATGGGTAACTGCAACAGGGAAACACGAGCAACAAACCATGAGTCTCTAGCCAACTTTGGTCACCGCAACCAATTATCAATAAGAACTTTCAATGTAAAACACGGCAAGGAATGCAAGAACGAAATGATAAAACAAGTTGGCGTTATCATTTACAAGAAAAGAAAAGATGAGTAGAAAAAGGGGGGGGGGACTAAAGAATCAAAACATCTCATCCATAACGCAAGTAAAAAACTCCCATGAGTTCGTTCCCTTTTTTCACCGCTTCAGAGGGCAGACTCATAGATGCATTAGATAGGCTGAATAAAAATAACTCTTTTATGTATGTTTTGTTTTCCGGTCCCCCTACGAGTTGGAATCATGTCTGTCGTGTCTGCATTTCCCCGTATTATACAGCGTATCCACAAGGGGGTTGATATATTTTTTTTCTCACGTCGGAAGAAGTAAGAGAGGTAAAGAAAGATCGGAAGAAGAGAAGAAAGAATCGTGGCTGTTGGCAGTTGTAAGGGAAACGCGACTATTCGCCTGCGGAGCCATGCGATCGACGACGGGTAAAGCTGCGTCTGATACTCTCGCCCCACACAGAGTGATCGAAGGAATCCAGCACATTCTGTACGCTGACGGAGCTGTCACCGCGTTGATGGCCATGTTCCTGGCCCGCTTCGTCATGGGCGCCAGCACTACTGAACGATGACGACGGGCCTTCGCTAAGATGAGGGGAGAATGATGGGTTGAAATTCCCCCAGTCAGAATGTGTGGGCGATGGGAGCCGAAGGGCCTCGTCGCCGAACATGTTGGTTTCGATCTTGGGCAGAACCACACGAGGCGGATGTCTGCTAGGTGACCCTTCTTGCGATCCCGCGCGGTCCTCGGAGGCTCGTCTCGACTGGTCCTCATTCAGAGGCCCGTCTTCGTCCTCAACGTATATCTCGGGCACTGAGAACTGTGGCACTGAGACCAGACGGGAGTCATGGCGAGCCTGAATCCGCTGCCGGAATCGCCTCGACCAGTACAATGTATTGAAGAATCCAACCACCACGTTTCGGCGGACGGCTTCCTCTACTCTCTGGAGACGCGCACGCCGTCGAAGGAATTCTTCCAACCTAAGCAAGCGTTAGCTAATTGGCCCAGCAAAGTGAAAATGAATGAGGACGAAGAAGCTTACCTCAAGCTCTTGCTATCTGTGATAACGTTATAATGAGCAAGTATCATAAGGCATGAGGTGAAAGATATTCCTCGTTCAGGGTCGGCTGAGACGAGCACTTCCTCGTAAAACGCATTGAGGCGAGCACGTCTTTTACGAATCTCGGCAACTGGCAGATGGGAGAGACGGAGCATGAGCTTCTGCAGGTCTAGTTCGCCAACAGACCGAGAATGGGATATTTCAGACTCGCGAACATTGACGCGGCAGTCCTCGAGGATGCGGCCGACGGTGAAATCCCCTTCATATATTCGCATTTCAAACACGCCAGACAGTTCCTACAGTTAAAGCGTTAATATCTTGATCATGGCATTTCCAGCATAACGAAAGATACTCACCCCTAAAAGTCTCGGGAAAACCTCTTTGGAAATGAATCCCGTTCCGTTCGGGTCAAACGTCGACCAAGCCTGTTTGAAACGACGGATTTCATCTCTGCTGATCGCATAGAGGCCACTGCTTCGTTGATAGACATAAGAAAAACTCTCGAAAATAAGCGAGACGAAAAGAGACACAAAAATATACATGCTCAGAATGTTCCACGAGATAAGCAATGTTCGTGCCCAGGCGGCACTGCCACAGTCGCTCTTATAGAAGTTTTCTCCCAGTGTACAGTATGGAGGCTCCATAGTTGCAAAGTCCTCCATGATTTGGTTCCATCCTTCGCCACAACTCATACGGAATAGAAGAATGAGCGCCTTGGGCACGCTTCTGAAGTTGATATTCCCGGTTTGGGTACCCCCGAATTTAGTCAGGCCAAAGATCTGAGTCAGTGCAATGGCATAGACAAGGAAGAGGATAAACCAAGTAGCCAACAGATTACCGATCGACGTCAAACTTGCTGCTGCAGTCTTAAAGAGTTGGTCGAGTTGATTGTTGCGGGGTATAATGAGCAGGGCGATAGACACCAGGAAGAGTTTGTGAAGTTGGGCGAAGACTATGCTCTTGTCGTTGATCAGGGCAAGAAGGGTCGTGATAAAGGTTCCCGATACTGATACGATGGAGTATAAATCCCATGAGCTGCGTCGGAATCGAGGCCAGGTTAGGCCGACAAGACGGACGACAACATTTGCAATGTAGAAGAGAGTGAGGAAGAGAAAAAGTGCGTCTCGTGTCCGCTCCCACCATGCAACTTCCGGGTAAAACTCGAGGACCAGGAGAACGAGGTGGATGAGCAGTAAAGCAGTGATGAACCTGGCCCATTTGCCATGCTTTTTTACAGCCACGCGATAGCACCAGGACTTGAATTTGTGGTTATCCTTATTGACAGACCGCTTGGAAGGAGATATCTGTTTCAGAAGCTTGCGCAGTTCTAGCCACGATCGTTGTTCTGCCGTTAAGAAGGCCACGCCCGTTTGTTCCGTATAATTCCGCATGAAAACAGAAACGAACAAGGTCAGGACAAAGACTGCGCCGAGAAGGTTGAATACCAGAAAGAATAGGGCGTTTGCTTGAGATGAAAAGGGCTGTGGCTGTTTGTCAACACCTGTGATGCTCATTGCATTCCACAGTACGTCAGTCCACCCTTCCTGAGATACAATCTGAAAGAGGATGAAGAGAGAGCTTCCAAAGTTGTCAAAACTGTAGAATGGATTGTGGACTGCTCGAGGCGCCAGCACCTCCCATTGATATGGAGAGCTTTTATATTCGCCAACACAATGCGAGAGGGAAACATATCCGAAATTATTGTCGTTGCATTGCTTCATTTGACCATTAAAAAGATTCAAACCGTAAATGGCGAACGGAATAAGGAAACTCATCGAAACGAATGCAGCCTATTTACCCATGTTAGTTCTGTTGTTACATCTGTACAGTATGTACCCACATACCGAGATAACCTTCCACCCTCCCATTACTATCACTGCATGGAATGTTTCTCTTGCGCTATCACTGACGTTTAACAGCCTCAATGCTCTGAGTGCCCTAAAAGCACCCACAACTCGGGACACATCGCCCGTTTTGTACAAGGCCGCAACGACATTTACCCACAAGGTTATAAGCACAATGCCATCAATGAACCCCCATGATCCACGGAAGTAGGCATTAGGAGTCCAGAAGAAACCATCTGCGATCACCTTAATAACAGCCTCAACACTGAAAAGGATAGCAAACCATAAGTCCGTCCATACAAACCAATTATGGATACCGGGGTTATGGGTCTCAAAGTAGGTGCGCTGATATAAGGGGGTGCATATACAAGCGATCAACACCATAGTAACAATGGCTGCGTAAATGAATGCAGAAAAGAGATACCACACTGGCTTATATGGGTCCACTCCTTCAATACGCGAATTCCCACGGCCTGGTCCTACCATCCGTTGGCAAAGACGACGGATAGGGTTAGAGGGCGTAAAAATGTAAAGAGAGACATTGTACCTAGGGTATCTCTGGAGATATTGTCGTTGGGCACGTTTCCTTTGCTCTGCAGCAGAAAGAACTTCCTTCGCCATTGCTGCAGGGTCAAGTTCATCATGATCTCTAGAGAACTTAAGTTTTGAATAAAAGGGGTTAGGCTCCCTATTCAATACTCGCTCTGTTAACTTAGTAAATATGCGGGAAAAGAACCCAGGCCGAACTTGCTGTTGCTCTGGTGGATTCTCTGGCGGATGGGTTTCCATGGGTCTCAGTGGTGAAGTTTCATCCAAGAAGTCCTGGACTACGGCTTCTTTCAAAAGCATCTCGAGTGCTGCAGGGCCATGGTCAAGGGGATCTCTGTATCTTCCACGGTCACGACCAAGCTTGAAAATGCTGGACAATGCGAGATTTCCGTGGGAGGATTCGCTTAGTTGTTTCTGCTGCAAGAATGCTCTAACCTGGTAGAGCCGTTTTTCATCCTCAGAGATATCAAAACTTTCCTGGATGACAGCAATGAACATATTCAACACAACGAAGTTAGCTAACACAAACCACATGACAAAAAAGGCAGCTGAAATCCAGGCAGTGCCCTTGGAGTTATTAGCTTCTGTTGCTGAGTATAAAATAGATGTCCAATTTTCACTGGACAGGATCTGATACATCCCCAAAAACGAGTTATATATATTAGAGAAAGTAGTCCGAGTAACATCACCTTCCGGGGACATGGCAGGTATCTGGTCACGGAACAGTTGGACGGCAAATATGGATGTTAAAAAAGTGATCAGGAACACGAAGATAATCAGGTTAAATAGACCGACGATGTTGCTGAAGACGGTCATGATAAGGGTTCTCGTCAACGAGAACGCAAGAACTATACGATACACCCGGAGTACTTGAAAGATAGATAATGCCGCGTAGACATCTCCCGAGGAACGAATGGGGGGTATTTGCATCACCATTGTGACCACAGCGAGGATAAGATCGGCCCAGTTCTGTCGGGACTTGAAGAAATTCCTCCAATCGACTCCGATACGAAAACAAATTTCGATGAAGAGGATGACGGTGACGGCAGACTCAGTACTGTCGATGAGGTCCTTTCGGTTAGCGCTCATAGACGAGCTTCTCAAACATTGCACAATTAGGCCAAAGGTAATGATACCAATCCAAAGATAGTTCGTCCTGTTGAAAAGCCGCTTTAGTTTGCTTACTCGACGAAAAGACGTATCCTCAGGCCCGACTTCGTCGATTCTATCAGTGGTAAATGCGCTCCGTTTGCTTTCCTCTCGAATAACTTGGAAAGATGATGTGATGACAGCAACTAGCAAGTTGACAAGCCATAAACTGAGGAAAATGAAGCCAGTGATGAAGAAGAGGGAGGCGGCAAGATAGTCGCTGTCCGTGGTATAGTATAGAAGGTCGGAAAATGTATTTGAGCTCATCAAAACGAAGACAAGCTCAAGGGAGTGTAGCACATCGTCAAAACTCATAGTGCCTTCATATGGACTTGTACCCTCAATGCAGAGAGAGCCCTGGGGGCATAAGTGCCCTTTTGGGCTTGTTGTCCCATTCAGACCATTGGCATGTATCCAGGGCTTAGCTATGCCAGTGGCATTGTCTAGGTGGCCTCCACAGAACTGAATTTTACCTGGTGCCTGGTTTAAGGTGAAATTGCTCACGCCTAAAGGATCCACCCAGACACAGGTTCGTCGAAGGCTAGCTTTGAAACTCTGGACACCGATGATTGCAAACAGAAGCCAGAAGAAACCTATAAAAAAGGCAACATTAACTAGAAGAGGCGCTGCTTTCTTTAAACTGCGAAGAATAACCTAAATTGTGCGTTAGTAATGAACGGAATTAATCAAATAAATAAAAAGGGGTAGGTTCGTCTCACAGTTGTACCGCTTGTCAGTGCAAGAAGGCGGAGGATTCGGAGACTGCTCAACATTTTAAAGATGAAAATATGCTGGTTAGAGTCAATGGATAAGACGGATAAAGCGAACGCAATCCAGTATGATACAACAGCGAGGAAGTCCAGCCTATTGAAAGAATGCCGTAGAAAAGCACGGCGAGCAAGTCGAATACGCTGCTGCTGTCTACTATCGCCAATTTCATCTGCTTGTTGTTGCATCGTTGTGAAAGACCTTATAATGGACATCTGCTGCAGGTCTGCAGGCTTCTTCGTAGATGGTTGCCGTTGCAATGAGAACAATTCTCTTGTTTTTATCATTACAGCATTTCGAAATCCAGCGGACCGGTCGAGAGTACTGTATTCCTCAGGGTTGAGTATGAAGCCAGAAACGATGGTCCTGGCAATCAGTTCCAGGGTATATATGATGAAGATTGCTAGAAAGAGGATGTCAACCACAGGTGAAGACCAACTTCCTCTGCGGCCAGTATGAACAGAAGATTCAATTGCTAATAGGATCGTCTGGACGACAATAAGAATCAGGATTATCGGTTCCGTAGCTGGATGGACGAGTACTTCACACAGCCACCTCCTAACTGCGTTGTCTGCGGAGAATATTCCTAACGATTTGCCCCTTAATGGACTTAGAGATGGATGCATCGGTTTCCGCTTGGGTCTCGGAGGCCTTTTCTCGGGCCCTGCCTCGTTTAAGGTCTCTGAGGAGGCGACGTCGTGAGCATATTCCATCATGGCAGGTAACGAAGGGGGTTCATCCATTCGCGCCTGTTTGAGAACAGATTTTTGTCTCATCACACTCTCGATAACTTCGGGCTCGTTACTTAGATTGACGACACGCTGAGACACCATCCTCATCATAGAGCTTGCCCTCGACAGGGCTGACGAAGGAGAGGGAGAGGCTGATAGTCGTCCAGTGGCAGACCGGTGTGAATTCCGTACACTGCTTCGTCCAGTCCGCAAACCATCCTCCAGATCGTCACCCAGATGAGACCCGCCACCCGAAGCGTTTCCGGCAAAGTGAACACTACGGCCTCCATTGGAATTCCGTTTGATCTGACTCGCGTCTGGAACAGGGGCACCGCTGATGGGCTGTAGGTAGCGTGAGTCCGTGAGAGGCAGGGCATCGTTCTCTCTATCATATGATCCTGATCCATCCCGGGCTAACGTATCCTCAGAGATACCAAAATAGCCGTTATCATCACTTCTTCTGCGGTTGTTCTCAAAAGGTGTAGATGAGCCCGAATGTCTAGACTGCTGGGGCCCGAAGCTCAGTCCAACCGTACTCTGGTGAAACGACGCGTGATCAAAGGTCGTAGGGCTAGTATCCTGGGATAAGCTGACGGACTCGAAGTTATCATAATCTCCTGTTCTCCTGTCTCCCCCTGTCGGCGAGTTCTCTGCAATCCGCTCATATCGTCGCGAAAGTGTTCTACCTATAGAACGTATACCTCTAACCGACGTCTGTCTCTCCGGCAGCGCATCTTCAACCGTAGCCCTTCTTGCCCGACGCCCTGCGCCATCTGCGATCACCGTGTCTGGAGGCCTTGAGAGATCTTGGAGGGGTATTGAATGGCTGCCAGACGGGTTATTCGCATCGTAGCCGGGGTTCTCGGACGGAGCCATTTGTTATTGGCGCTTCCGCTTCTCATCGAGTCGTAGGCATTGCAGCTGTCAGTCCCTGGTTAGTACGTATCTATCGTGAGCTGTCTGGTCAAAAAAACAGGGCGTAGATGGGCAGGCGAAAAGTCCACGCGTTTCCAACTTGTGTATAGCAACCGCAGATTCGCGAACGGTGACTTGAAACGCTTCAACGCAGGATGCAAATGGCAAGGAGACAACAGTATCAGGGGGGGCTGTCAAGGGGTGTGTGCCAAAGGGGAAAAGAAAAAGGTGCCCTCTCAGCTCTGCAGGGCGAAGTTGACAAGCTTGCGTTCTTCCCCAGGATCTAAATTCTGCTGGCCGTTTTGGCGAGATCGTGGCTGAGAGTGAGTGACGAACGTCGACAGTGGCGTATTCACATTACATACAAATAAATTACGCACACAAAATACAAAATTTATGTGGGTAATACGATAACGACAGGACAGTATATGTCAAGGAGTGTGGCTTGGAAATCGTTATTTGCTCGTCCTTGGGAGTGAACTTGTAAATGTTTCTAAGAATAACTAGTGGCATCCGTAGCCAGCTAATCAGGGCGGCTTCCCTGGCGACAATATCAGGGGGGGTTGCTGTTAGGGGCCAAGCTACGATAACATGGCTGGTCCCAGGGGGTGGTCAAGCTGTTCGTGACAGGAAAATGGCCCAAGCTAATCCGTCTCCATGCTGTCAGCCTTCTGGCTGTCCTCTACTTGCTGTCTCACACCTTCGACAAATGCCTTAACAGCCTCTCCTCCACCCAACGGGACACCACCACGGCGCATGAAACCTCCATTCTGGACCGGGATCTTCAAGGCATCACTGATGCTAGGGAGTCCCCCGTCTCTTATGGCCATGGTAAGACTACCTAGGCTCTGAGCAAACTGTGGAGAGCGAAGGACCTTGCGAAGGGCATCACGCTTCCGGTCGACACCGATACGCTCGACGGGTGCGTTGGCGTTTTGTTTTGAGAGGAGCTGCAACGATTCGGGGAGAGAGCTAAGCAGCCGATTGAGGGTGTTTTCGTCTGCGGATTCAAGGAAGGGTAGCGTAGATGAAGGCGACAGCAGATCGGCGAGAGTTGTGTATTGCGAATCTGCCGTTTCTTGCTGGTTGTTTCCTTGCAAAGAGTGAAGGAAATTTTGTATAACAGACGATGGGTCCGAACCGGCAGCACTGTGAGCACGTGAGTTAGTAGAAGCTATTAAAGCCGAACAAGCAGACGTATGAGGTTCAGGCAGGTAAGGTAGAAAACGCTGATTTATATGTTTGGCGTAAAGAACAATAACATAACTGGCATAACATCAAAAACTATACGCAGGGCCCAACGATGCGCTAAAGTTGCTTAAAGGAAGACTGGGCAGGAAGAGCCGACATCGAAGGATCAAAAAGCAACAGGGTGGAAGTGCTGTGCTGTGCTGTGCTGTGCTGTGCCGAGAGCAATACCTACGCTCGTCCGCCATCTGCTCCTCCTTCTCTTGATTCTTGACCTTCTTCTCGTATATCACCACCGGTAGCACCAGGTCCAGCTCCTCCACTCCCGCCATGTCGTGGTCTCTCGGGGCTATGGTCTGTACCCTCTACGTCTTCCATGGTTTCGTCGTCATCCCCACCATCATTACCGCCTTCGTCCCTGGGGAGGCTGTCGATGGCATCTTGCACGTCGATATCTTCTCCCTGCAACAGCGTGTTCACGATCTGGCCAAGCTTCAGATCTCGCGCGCTAAACCATGCTGGATTGCCCTGCTCGTGCTGACTCCGAGACTGTAGCCAGAAGAGATATCTCTGCGAGCTGGAGGCAAATTTCAGAACGTATATTCTGCCATTCGTAGGTCGATCAGGGTTAGACGGCGTCTGGGCGCTGGTGGGTTTGTATGGCGTAAATGTTCCGTCAGAGGGCACCATGACCAGGTCGAGCTCCGGCTCGTCTATGGGCGCGGACCGTGGTCGCCAGCAGAAGTGAACGAGGTCATCTTCCGAGTAAAGATAAATATATCCAGGCGTTGGTCGTGGCTTTACGGCATTGGGGGTGACAGAGGCCTGTTTTGTACCTGTTAGCTCTGCCAGTCCCTCTCAGCTCTTCTTTTTTTTCTTGGTAGACACATACATCTAGCTCGCAGATGCCACCCTTGAAGGTGATGATTGGTGATATCGACATGGTCCTCTGCTTTCTCCTTCTCCGTCGTCTTCCTGTCTGTCGTCTGTCGTCTTGCTTGTCTGGTGCTTGTTGTATCTTGCTTCTTTCTACATTGTAGACTCAAGCGCTGAATAAGACATGACTAATCATATTACTAATGAGGAAAAAAGAAACACCGAAAAGGCCAGAACAGGACTAGCGCCCTTCGGCTAAGAAATAGGGCATTCGCATTCCCACAAAATAATCGTCAAGCGCAAAGCGAGAAGAAGTTGAACTTCGAACTTCCGCCAATCTTCAACCACAACAACCACCGTCGACCACCCCCGGGATTCCCGCATCTTCGATTTCTCTTTTCCCAAGTCTTCGTCACATAGAGCCAACATGTCGGCGCCTGGCCAGACGAAGAAGTTCGGAAAGGGCGAGAGGACCGTCCCCAGCCAGAAGGCTCAGAAGTGGTATCCTGTTGATGACGAGCCTCAACCAAAGAAAGTCAGTATACCAGTGCCCATGGCTGTTGCAGGCGTTTTCGCAGACGTCCGAGAATGAATCAGGGGTGAAAATTATTGTGTGGCTCGTGTCTGCGATAATTATATCCCCCTCGATTTCACACAGTCGCGAGATTGAACTGGAACACCGAAATTGAAAGTTGTATATTATAATTTTTATACATGCATTTACTGACATGGACATTGGACAGGTTCGCAAGTCCATCAACCCCGCTAAGCCACGCGCCAGTCTCCAGCCAGGCACCATCCTCATCCTCCTCGCTGGCCGTTTCCGTGGCAAGCGTGTCGTCCTCCTCAAGCACCTCCCCCAGGGTGTCCTCCTCGTTACCGGTCCTTACAAGCTCAACGGTGTTCCCCTCAGACGAGTCAATGCCAGATATGTCATTGCCACCAGCGCATCCGTCAATCTGACCGGTCTTGACGAGAAGACTCTGGAGAAGGTCTCCCAGCCCGGATACTTCACCGCCGGCAAGAGCACCGAGAAGAAGGGAGAGGAAGCTTTCTTCAAGCAGGGAGAGAAGGTCGAGGTATGTGCAATAGAAATAACAGCAGATTGAATGGCATTGGGGGAAGAAAAGACAAACGGGACGGAGTGCTGATATGTTACTTTTCCGGTACAACAGAAGAAGAAGATCACAAGCGAACGTGCTACCGACCAAAAGGCCGTCGACCAAGCCCTTTTGGCCACCATCAAGAAGGAGGAGTTCCTCGACAGCTACCTTGCCTCCAGCTTCAGCCTACGGAAAGGTGACAGACCCCACGAGATGAAGTGGTAGATAGGAGGAGGTTTCATGGCCGTTAAAATAATGTCTTCTATTCTCTTCTTTTCGTTAAGCGGAGATTCCTGTATGTTGCAAGGAAGGGAATATGCAACACAACGCCCTCATTGATGTGTGTATGTTTTGCGTTTAACTATGCTCTCCATCACACTGATATAGAGTGGTTTCCTCGAAATATCAAAAATTTCCAAGAAATAAAAGGGCCTTGTTGCAGCATTCCAAAAACCTGCAATATAAATAAACTACGACCAAACAACTTCTCCTTTTCTTTTTTACTTCTGACATGAGCGAGACCCGTCTTCCTACCGAACCTCCCATACCTACCTACCTACCTTTTGTCAAGTACACCTCTTCTACCTTTTTTTTCAAGCCGCTCATATACATGTCACTATTACAAATAAAATCGCAATGACTGGATGGCACCTTGGTTTTCTGAACTTCCATGACTCGTAGTTGGTACATTCATCAAAAAGTCATCAATCAAAAATTGTAATACTATATCCAAGAACAGCCGTTAATGTACAGTTTCTCTCGTCCTGCGAGTCCTCCCGTGGCCTCTCTTGGGCCTGTTCTCAACGAGCCTTTCCGCGACGCGTTGAGCGTCAGACTCTAATGGTTCATCTTCCAGTTCATCTCCAATCAATGTTCCAAACATCCAATCCATGATCCCCCAAGGTGCATAGTTTCCATGTCCTCCATGCGACAGATGTAGGTCTACGCGTCTTGCTATACCACCGATAAAGAAGCTGGTTGGCATCGGTTTATATCCCGAATACGCGAAGGTCTCCTCCAAAGAGACTATGCTGAGATAGAGCATGTAGGTCAAGAGGTGACTTCTGAACGCTGCGGCCGGTAAGAATGTAGGGAGAAAACGCAAAAGTAAATATGCAATAGGATGGTCGTAGTGGGCCGTCAAGGGGTAGGGAGTGTGCGTCGAATGGTACCAGTCATTATGGAGGCGCTGAAAGGGAGTCCATGAATGCAGGGCATAGCGATGAACGATATACTGCAGGATCTAAATAGCCACAGTCAGCCATTGTCAAGTAAAGTAATCGAATAATAGATAAAAGCACCAGGATACCTCTCGAAATATCAACGCCCTTCCTACTCCCTTGACAATATCCCACGGCAGGGGAAGCTTCGTCGTCACCCTCAACCGGCTCTTCACTCCCAGCACCCTCGTCAAGAAGAATTCAACGAGTCCCTGCACTGCTATTCCCAAGAGCAGGTTGCAGATCGACCAAGCCGCCACTTTGAGCTCCGAACTCCCGTGTTTCTTCTTCTTCCCTTGCGGCAAACCATCTTTGCCATACACTTTCAACACGACCGAGGCAGAAGGTATCAGAATATCGAAAAGGAAGAAGAGAACAGAGGGGATAAAGTAGAATATTAGTCGGACGGCCGTTGTTCCCACCAGCTCGACTTTCAATGGCCCATGGGATAGGACGAGAGTGGTCCAGGTGAGGTAGAAAAAGATCAGGTTGAGGCTGGTTCCGTACGAAGACATGGACGGTATCAGTAGAAATGAGAGCACTGGTATTGAGAGAAATGCGCCCATCGCTGTTGTTTGCGATGAGCTGATCCTATAGCTAACTATTCTTCTCTCTTCACCGTTTATTGTCTTGTGCTTTTCATTAAACAAGGATTTGCTAGCTAGAAATATTTAGTTACGTCATTCTAGTGACTTGCATAGTAAAGAGAGACTCAATGCGTTAACTAAGGGTTTTATATAGCCGTAGAGTGAGCAGTGGCGTTTCTTTCGTCATGATAAAGGCAATTGAAGTAGATTTCTAATGTGAAGCTGCTCAAGTCTTGATCTATAATGTCCAGTTCTTCCCGTTGAGATCGGTGAGGAGCCTGAATATCTAACAGTCTATTCTGAGTCCTAAAACTACGCACTTGAAGGCCCATAGAGTTGTTTGTACACCAGTGGAAACGAATGATTACGGGAAAGGTAATAACAATATAATTATAATATAGGGCTATCCAGAGTTGTAGGATACATCTCCAGGAGTACCAAAGCCAGGGATAGAAGAAATAATCCACTGGTCCTCAGTCACGACGTGGAACACCATGAGTACGACCCCAATTCCATGCTTTTCTTGTCAAATCTGGAATAACGAACAGGAACGCAATGGCGCTCACCATACTAATAAGAGTATCCATGATGATATTGTTCCGAGGACTGGCTCCCATGGTAGCCGCCTTCATCAAGGTTGCGATAAACAGGGTCGTGATCATATACTCGCCTCTCTCAAGGCCCTTAATCGATATCTTAGCAACCTCCTCTGGCGTCTGGGGCTTGTCTGCTTCCTCTAACAGCTTGGTCAGGCCCGGCTTTATGGTCTGTTCGTGGGCAAACCCAGGCGAGAGAATTCCCATAGGATAAACGATATGAACCTTGACATCAGCTGCCGGGGCAGGCTGTTGCATGTTCTTCCTTGATCCATTGTAGACTTCGATTTCCTGGACGAGGGTGTCTGCTAGAGCTCTCATGGCTGCCTTTGCCGGGCTATATGGACCATATCCGGCGAGCGGTACAAACACGGCAGCTGATGAGGTGAAAATGATGTGACGGGGAGAAGTCTTTGCGTTTCTTGAACTAGGCGCAACTGGCGAGAGCCACCTGTTTAGAGTCGAATGAGCGGTAAAGGCAGCTGTCCAGTAAATCGTATCCATCTGGGACTTTAGTGTCTCTGGCGGCGTGGTGACAAAAAACCCAGGCAGCGACATTCCGGCGCAGCACCAGACGATATCAGGCGGCTGGTCTCCGTTCCATTTGGAAACATTTTCGAGAACACGTTCAGTCCCTTCGTAATCTTTCAGGTCTGCACTGACATAGTGAAACCTCTGCTTTTCTGGGTATAAAGCAGCAGCCTACATCAAACCGTGAGAAAAATAGCCATGCTTTCAATATATCTTCACATCTTCACATATATATACGCACTTTGATGTCCTTCAATGCTGTCTCGAGCTTGGAAACGGTTCGAGATACAATTACAATATTTGCTCCTTTCTTAGCTAGCTCAATGGCAACACTTCGTCCCATTCCCTCAGAGCCTCCAGTGATGAGAACCGTCTATTTACGATATTAATAAACATTTCAAATGTTCAACCTTCTACGGACAGCTTCACTTACCTGTCCATCCACCTGGAACTGGTTCTTCCCGCCAAAGCCAAACATAGTTGCTACCTGGTATATAAAGACGCCAAAGAGCAGCGCTGCCAATATCGGTTGAAGCCCAGGATACGCTATTCCTTCCATCCAGACCACTTCCTGCCAAAGGAGCGTACTTAGGAATGACTTATAAGAACTCCTTGAGACTATCTGGTCTTAAGAATGGATGGTGACGGTTTGGATGTTCGGGCGTGAAAACACATTCAGGGGCTGAAATCAAATGGCGAGAAGGAACTAACTATGCAAGCCAACACGTCACTTTTACGTAAATTTGTCCATACACAGCTTACACAGTTAAACTATCGTACTAATGGGTAAATAACTATTCTAATCATGTTTATATTAATTATTTCTATAAATCTGATAATGTCTCGGTAGAATTCAAGTCGTTGGTAATAAAATACACATCTGATACGCACATTCCCACCAGTTTGTTATCGATAAACCGTAATCGATACCGTAATTTCCGAGCTTTACTAAATCCGGTTAAGCCTCGGCAGCTCCACATATTTTTGTGGTAATTTTGTATTTTTTTTTTTTTTTTTTGAAGCTTCGCATTTGAGATTTTGATATTAATAGACGGTTGGAGTTAGAGGGATAGGAACTCCTGACGGGCTACTCTTTTATATGACATATCATGGCGAAGAAGAGAAAGGCAGGCGGAACTGCGCTGGCTCATAGGAGCAAAAATCCAATACAAGAAGAAAATTCGAAGTTTGCGGCAGATGCGAGATTTGAGAACTCGGAGGATGAATTTGAAGCTGGACGAGATCGTGTTTTGCTTGAAGAGCGCCCGGAAGTGCAGCGAAGAAGGAAACTAGAGGAAGATGGTATTTGCGCGTTTATATTTTCCTCATAATTTCTGTCCAGGCGTGTGCTAACTTGAATATATAGAACAATTTCTGCAGCCCTCGGACGAAGAGGTCCACGGATACCTGTCCGAATCCGAAGAGGAAGATGATTATGATTATGGAGACGAAGAGGAGGAATTTGAGGACGAAGACGCAACTGCAAAATCAAAAAAGAAGCTTCCTAAATTACGTCGCAGAGAAGAACGAAGCCCCGATTTCCTTGATGAAGGCAAGAATGCGGAAGAAGACGAAGAAGAAGGAATCACGGCATGGGGAGCCTCGAAATCGGACTACTACAATGCTGATACCATTGAGACCGAGGGAGATGCACTAGAAGAAGAAGAGGAAGCTAAGAAGATTCAGCTAAAGAAATTACAGGCTATGACGGATGCTGATTTCGGATTTGAGGAGTCGGAGTGGCTTGACAGCACAAAGGGAGACGGGGAGATGTCAAAAGATGCCATCAAGCACGGCAAGGTCATCAACGAGGTACTGCCTGAAATACAGATACCCGATGACATGGGTGTGGATGAAAGACTAGAGATCTTATCAAAACGGTATCCAGAATTCCTACCTTTATCGAAGGATTATGCAGATCTCCAGCCACGGTACCAAGAGTTATCTACTGCAGTGGATGAAGCTCGAAAGTCCCGCAAAGATATTTCGGAGGATAAGACACCACTCTCAATTCTTCAATTCCGTGCTTTATCCGCATACCTTGGCGTTATCAGCATGTACTTTGTGCTCTTGACCTCCCCCGCCCGAAACAATACCGGAAGCTGTCTAGCCTTACCGCCGGCGGAGCTAAGGGAGCACCCGGTCATGGAAGCACTGGTTGCCTGTCGAAATCAGTGGGATCAGGTGAAAGACCTACAAGAGATGGAACCAGAACCATTGGTATCCGATCTTAAGGATGTACAGGAAGACGAAAGTGCTATCTCAGTATCAACGGAGAAGTCTACGCAAGACGAACCATCCAAGGTTACCCAGGCCATAAAAATACCTAAAAAATCAAAGGCGCAGAAATTGGCAGAACAAGCACAAGCAATTGCCGAATCACAGCGTGCTGAAAGACTCAACAAGACTGAGCTTGGCCTTCAAGAATTGTCCAGACTCTTGGATCAAGGAATCTCGGCGAAGGTCACATCGCAGCGAGAGCCACGACTTCACGGTGACGACTCTGATTTCGGGGATGAAACAAAACTCACTGCCTACGAAGCGGCAGAGAAAGCAAAGAAAAAGAAATCACTACGCTTCTATACCTCACAGATTGCACAAAAGGCAAACAAACGCGATGCTGCTGGCAGGCATGCTGGTGGAGATACAGATCTACCGTATAAGGAGCGGAACAAGGACCGTCAAGCTCGCCTCAATGAGGAGGCACAGAAGAGAGGACGGATGGAAGCGAATGAGAATGAGCGTCTTGGGGACGATAGTGACGAAGAGGACCACCGACTTGCCAGAGAAGTCCGTGGTGATTTAGACGGATCTAATAGCGACGATTATTATGATATGGTTTCCTCCCGTCAAAAGGAGAAGAAAGCAAACAAAAAGGCACTATCAGAGGCATACGCACTTGCTTCTAAGGAAGGTGGTCGTGTCGAGATCCAGGAGGAAATTGGCCCCGATGGCAAACGTGCTATTACCTATGCTATTGAGAAGAACAAGGGATTGGCACCAAAGAGGAACAAGGACGTGCGAAACCCCAGGGTGAAGAAGAGAAAGAAGTTTGAGGCCAAGAAGAAGAAACTTGGAAGCATGAGACAGGTCTATAAGGGTGGTGAAGGCCGTGGTGGATATGGTGGAGAGCTGACTGGTATCAAGAAGAATTTGGTGAAGAGTGTAAAATTATAGATGTCGTTGCAAAAAAGAAAAGGTGAAATGACTTACGACAATATCAATTTTCGAAACAATCTTTGACAACAAATTACGTCACAGGATTCTTGTAATTATAGAATACTTACTTACGGTGATAGTAGAGATGGGGAGTTTGAATCTGGGAGCGTGCATCCCTCTGTATCCCCCTCAGCCACGCTAATAGGGGAACCACCCTGTTCTATACTTCCTACAATCTCTTCTAACAATGACCTAAAGCACTTTGTTGTCCCCTGCTCATTACTCCGTGGGATGCTTCTAGAGAAATCTGCTTCGAGGAATCTTCTTGCGAGTTGTTCCTGATCGGTGGGTTAGTATCTATAGGATCTGACCCCAGGTTAATTGAAGAAACGGATGCAAATGGGGATTAGTACCACATATTCAAGCTCCTTCATTTCTTTCGCAGTCATCCTTGCACAACTGGCTACTAAATCTTCCTTTCGCTGCAATAAAGATTCAACCTCTTGTGCTCGAGAAATAATGTCGGGGTCGATCCCTGCCATTGCAGCGCAACTTGATGGCAGTTAGCTATCCGAATACTCTATAATGGAAGATATGCAGTACTTGGTTCCAAAGCTTGAGTTACTTCTCCCCAGCCGGAAGCTAAGATGCAATAGTTAGTTAGTCCCTCGCTGGCCAATAGAGGGTAATAATGAATCCTCACTTGTATAGATATGTGACCTGATCCTCAACATTCTGAGTGGAGGTATCTACTCGAACTTCCATGTGGCCAAATTCTAATTCTGGCCTTGGCTTGAGGAATCCATTCTCAAATATTTCATGAAAATGGGTAGCTGCAATCACCTTTGGGCGTTGATTACCCATACTTAAGACATATTCAAATAACCCGCAGGCCAGTCCAGCGCCGTCTGTGTTATAAATTAGTGCTGGACTGGTATAGTTTATCAGGGGGTAGATATTACCTGCTGATTCAGTCCCTTTTCCGAACTCGTCAATAATTATCAAAGTTCTATTCGTGGCCTGACTCAAAGCAAATGATACTTGTTGTAGGTCGTTTGCAAATGTACTTTGAACCTGCCTTTATGAATGTCAATTTATAATACAACAATTATCTCTTCTTACCTTTGAAACTGTTTCTCGCGTTGACACTCTGGTTAATATCCTATCCGTATAACCAATTGTAGCGCTCTCAACCGGAACAAAGCTGGCTAGATGGTTAACTTGGTTTGCGATATAGACAAGCACGGGGTTGCAACCTTCCGATGTGAGCCATGTAGACGATGATGGCAGCCTATATGTATCGTCAGCTTTGGACATTTTTAACTCAATTACATCCATACTTGACTGAGATAAACACTTTTGCCGGAAAAATTTGGACCAGTTAATAAGAGCATGCTCGGCCCCTGGGTAGTCTCCCCATTAGGAAGCAGTTCGGTACTAGAGGCATTAACGTCTTGTGCGCTACTTCTTGACCCTTTGCCGCCGATAACAAATGTATCATTAGGCACAAATGATGACACTGTGGCTTCATGGAGCATATGACTACCGGTAATTAGCTTGCTTTGCTGCACGAGGAATAATAAGTATTAAAACTTACCGGCCCCCCTTAATTGATATTATATTTTCTTCAGTCATGCGAGGACGTACAAGCTTGTTCAAGCTAGCCCCCTGGACGAGAGCTAGAAGACTATTCTGGTTGTGAGATAAGGCTTGCCACAAGTCCATTGATATAGCCTACCTATCAATTTCTCCGCATATATCAGATGCTTGGACAAGCATTATCTCATATGTTAATATTTTCTGTGCAAGTTGGTAGACTATTTCTATTTCCCTCTCTACAGAATGCGTGAGTTATACGCTCTGATGATGAATTTGGAATTAACATACCACATATTAGACCATATATATCACCGAGCTTCTCATCCATCTCGCGCATTCTAGAGTCTTTGAAATAAGCTCGATTTTCCGTGTTGAATACCTGAGTCCAGTCTTCGTCGTTAGTGCCATACACTGGCACGCCCCTGTCGTCAAATGGTATGGCGATATTGAAACCCAGTTGGGGAAAGTAAACGACATTTATTTCCTTGTTCATTCCCTCTGGGAGGGATGCAGCAATATTTACTGCTACTTGGTTGAGTAAGCCGTCCATTCCACTATATGTCTCCTTTAGCTTGTCAAGCTCTTTATCAATCCCCGGCCGAACTACTGTGCGATGTTCCTCGATGGAGAGCGAGAGATCAACCTGAAATCTGGTTAGCCGGAGCGGCATAATGGTGAGCTATTTCATACAATCTCATGGATTGCGCTGCCAACTTGATGTAATTGAGCCAAATCAAGTTTAATCAGAGCCTATAAAAGCAATTAGAATATGATCTCATCGAGGCCTGGGTTCTTTACCCACTCACTTTTGTGCATATATCCAATCCCCGGACTCCAGTAATTTCCTTTAACGCTTGGTTGACATCGATGGCATGAAATGCAAACTATAGGCAAAGTTGGTACGTATAATATGACCTTTTGAGCTCAATAACATACGTCAAGCAGGCTGGACCACACCACGCCCTTGAATCCTCTGAACTTTGCACTTCCTGTGCTGATTCCCTTCCGCAAATGGATCACCACCGGCCGTAGATTCTTAATATTCTTCAAACTCTTGATAAGTTGCTCAAGTGGAGCGGCATTTTCTGGGCGTAAGAATGTACTAAGGAATTCATGCCTCTGGTTAATAACATTGGGATCAACGCTTGGACGGAGAAAGTACTGCTTTAATAAACGTTTTCCTTGAGGTGTCCTTGCAAAATGGTGAAAGAGACCATAGATGGATAGGCCCTCCTTGGACCCGGAGGAGGTTTTGCCTGGACCTTGATTAAATGCATTTGGGTGAGACTCAGATTGTATTATTTGAAGTGATGACAGGGTATCTTTATTAATGAACCTGCGATTGGAAGTCGTCAGTATAAGATTGAATGGAATTAGATGGTCAAGGGCGCGCTAACATCGTTTTCTGCAAATTAATCATCCCAATGGCTTTAATGTCCATTGTTCGGGGGGATAACGGGTCACCTTGCAAGGATATAGAAGCCCACTTTCTTTGCAAGTAGGTGAGGATGGCTCCTGCACATCCTACAGATATACAATTTTCCATATCAATGAGCCCGCTGATATGTAACAGATCTCCTTGCTGTTCTGTGAAATCAACTGTCTCTCCGGTGATATCACCGTCATGGGAGAAATTGATTCCAGGGATAAGAAACTTGACTGTCTCACTGGTTTTGGAATTGATTTTGAGAGAGGTGAGTTTGGTCCTTGCATTTTCGAATCCAAACTCCTGAGTTGGACGCACATCTAGCTGGTAAGGTAATTGGAGGTGAGAATCTAAGATATTGCGGGTTAGATAGACGTTTTGTTCTTCTTTGAAGACGTACGTCTTACCGATGTCTGAGGTTGCACGACTCCCGCTTCCTGCATGTGTAGGATCCTCCAGACTCTGATCGGCCCGCAGTGATAGCAACAACACTGTGGGTTCAATTTCTAACTTCACTGTTCAGAGGTGCCATTAGCATACCCTCCTAAGGTAGTATAAGTTGGGTTCCACGTACATATATCAACAATATCCAGTTCGCCATACACAATATCCTCCATGACGTATAGTTTTTCTTCCTGGGCGGAGTAGTAACTGCAACCGACAGTCCCTCGATCTTTGATATCTACAGCCATGATGACCTTGCAAAGATCTTCATCGTCATCTTCCAATCGCTCCTCCCGTATGGTATTTTCGCTTTGTGGTACTGCGTTAATTGAATGAAGTCTCTCAGTTTGTACGCTTCTGCTAGTGGCAACAGAAGTTGCTCTGGAGTAAGATGGTCTTGATGAGATATACTGGCTGTTTTGGCTAAAGGAGGCGTTTCCGCGAGCTCTTCGGCCAAAATTTCCTCTCCCGCGACCTTTAGAGCCGGGAGGCCTTCTCTGTCTAGCCGAGAAGGATCTTGCCATATTGTAGTGTTCTCGATTTCTTGGCTAGTTTATCAAGAGAAAAATAGTCGGGGTATGGATGTTGTTCTCTCCTCCGCGGGTCTGAAGGAGGTTAGTTTAAGCTTAATCGGGCATTACCCGATTTGGAAGGGAAAAGAGGTATCATTAAAGTAATTATCATTTATCATTGGTATAATATAAAATGATATGAAAGGACATGGTATAGAGAAGGGTTTCATCCGTTTATACATAGGAATGTGAGGTATTATGCTATAAAAATACAAACCGACATCGTAATCATACATAATAATATACAAAAAAATCATGTCGACTTTTCAGTTGAGATGTCCAATCCAGTCTTGTCCTCATTAAAGACAGCAGTAGCTGTTTGGCCAGAGACAACTTCTCCTCGAATGATCTTATCGGCAAGATGATTGCCAATCTCTTTAGAGATGAGTCTGTTCAAAGGTCTGGCACCGTACTTGGGGTCATAGCCCTTTTCACAGAGCCAGTCTTTAATCTCGTCGCTGACACTAAGGGTTATTCGTCGATCATCTAACCTCGCCTGGAGCTCCTTGATGCGGATGTCAACGATATCCCGCAAAGCGGTTCGAGACAGTCTCTTGAATAAGATGAATTCATCTATTCTGTTCAGGAACTCAGGCGGGTATGATGACTGGGCAATTCCCATCACAGCTGATTTCATTTCGGGAGAGATATCCTCACCTTGAGAAGCGTCTGCTGAAACTAGCACGTCAGCACCAAGATTAGACGTAAGAACGATAAGGGTATTGCGGAAGTCAATCTTGTGACCCTGAGCGTCGGTGAGGAAGCCTTCATCCAACACTTGGAGCAAAAGCGCAGATATATCACGATGGGCCTTTTCAAACTCATCAAAAAGAAGAACGGCGTAGGGTTTTCTACGGACAGCCTCAGTGAGTTGGCCGGCATCATCGTAACCAACATAGCCGGCTGGAGATCCGATAAGGCGGCTAACAGTATGCTTCTCCTGGAACTCACTCATATCGAACCGAACAACAGCGGATTCGGTTGAAAAGAGGAAACCTGCCATCTTTTTGCATAGTTCTGTTTTGCCAACACCGGTAGGACCGAGGAACATAAAGGACGCCAAAGGCCGGTTTTCACCGCTGAGACCGGCTCTCTGCATCCTCACAGCGTTTGCTACCGCTGAAAGAGCTTCATCCTGGCCACGAACTGACTTGCGAAGAGTATCTTCCATGTGAATTAATTTTTCGACCTCTCCAGACATAAGCTTGTTGACCGGGATTCCTGTCGTGCGAGATACCACACCGGCAATATCATCAGCGGTAACGGAGTCATGAAGCAAGCTTTGTCCCTGGGTGCCTGTAGTACCAGAGTCGTTTTCTTGTGGAAGCTTCTTTTCCAGATTTGGAATCGTGGAGTATCTCAGTTCACCGGCTTTTGCAAAGTTCCCTTCGAGTTGGGCTTGTTCTAGCTCACCCCTGGCACGTTCCAAATCTTCTTTAGCTTGTTTGATAGCTTCGAGTTCCGCCTTCTCCTTGTCCCATGCCTCGGTGAGCTTCCCGACTTCTTCTTGTTTCGTTTTGAGCAGTTCTTCGAGCTTCTCCCGTCGTTCCACGCTAGCAATATCCTTTTCCTTCCGGAGGGACTCTAACTCGATTTGGATGGTCATGATTTGCCTATCGAGCTCCTGGATCGCGTCTGGTTTAGATTCTTGCTGAAGCCGCAAGGCTGAAGCAGCCTCGTCCACAAGATCGATTGCCTTGTCAGGAAGGAAACGTTCGGTAATGTATCTGTTGCTGTATGTGGCAGCGGCAACAAGAGCGCCGTCCGTGATACGAACTCCATGGTGAACTTCGTATTTATCCTTGATGCCTCTGAGAATCGAGATTGTGTCTGGTACTGTTGGCTCCTCCACTAATATCGGCTGAAATCTTCGTGCCAAGGCAACGTCCTTTTCAATCTGTCTGTATTCATTGAGAGTGGTGGCACCGCAGCATTGAAGATCACCTCTCGACAGAGCAGGTTTGATAAGATTGCTTGCATCTATGCTGCCTTCTGCCTTGCCCAGGCCCAGTAAAGTGTGCAATTCATCCACGAAGAGAATGACACCTCCCTGTGCATCCTCCACTTCTTTGAGGACACGCTTCAACCGTTCTTCGAAATCACCTCTGAATTTGGCACCTGCAATCAGCTGTCCAAGATCTAGAGAGATAACGCGTTTGTTCTTGACACTCTCGGGGACATCGCCTCTGACAATCCGCTGGGCCAGCCCTTCGAGAATTGCCGTCTTCCCCGTTCCGGCCGCTCCAATCAAGACGGGATTGTTCTTCGTCCTCCTCGACAAAATCTGGATAGTGCGGTGAATTTCAGAGTCTCTCCCGATAACCGGATCGAGTTTTCCATCTCTCGCTCTCGCGGTGAGGTCGACTCCAAACTGTTCCAACGCTGGCTTCTCCGGTTCACCACCGAGATTCATTCGATGTGTTCCACCGGGAGGATGAGGCCTGCCATTTGCATAATGACGAACGAAACCGATAGTAAGACACTGCTTCGAGAGTGGCCGGGATCCAAGGCCGTATAGACCTCCCCTTGCAGCAGTCTTGATATTAACAGTAGCTCTGGGAGCTCGAAGCAGCTGACGGCTGCCACGCATAGCAAGACGACAAGCCATGGTGTGTGTGTGTCTCTATTCCCTGGAGGGCGACATACCAAGCCCTGCCCTTATATATATCCCAGCTCTTATAAGGTCTACCTTCTTCTCGAAAGCTCCAGGATGTGCTAGCTCTTCTTCTTCTTCTTCCTCCTTCGTTGCCCCAAAGAAACAAACATGGGGCGGTCACATGACCTTACCTAAGGAAGAAAATCTTTTCCTTCGAAAAACACAAAAACTTCTTTTTCGCCCTTTTTTCTTCCCCTCCAAACGCAGAAAAAAGCTCTTCATCTTCTTCCCATCCACAAACGACCGTCAATTCCTCTTGCACAATGGGTTTCGCCGACCTCTCTACCGACTCTGGCATTGCCAGTGAGTGCCTCTCGCCATCCAGCTCTGTCTACGGAGGCTAATCATCTTGTTGTTTTGTTTCTGCACAGTCGCCGACACCTTCTTCTCGCGAAGAACCTACGTTGAGGGGTAAGTGCTACAACCCAATATATCAAGCAAGCCCCTTATACAAACCACATAGCTTCTTCCATCCTCCCCCCCCCCTTTGA